CAACTTCAGTTAGTTTGAGGTACTAGGCATTCCTTTTTTGATATGATTAACGGGTAACATGATCACATCCGATATTGTAGGACTCTGCTCGGTAAATTCTCTCCCGAAATTAGTCACTAGTAAGATGTTCAAGTTGTCTAATTATAGTCATTCCTTGGCGTAAGCTATGAAATTCAAAAGTCAGTCAGTCAGTTACAACGTAGGACCAGGCATATACATGCATCGGTCCAAGTTGCCACACATCATTAGCACAGAAAGACAAACACCGGATTCATTGAAGCAGTTAACTCAATGGTGGTAATATATAAAAGAAGTATTGCATATAAGGATATAGTACAGGAAGGATGAATTAATTAGTAGAAAGAAAGATATGGAGCGGTTTTGATCTCATAGTTTAAGGGAAGACAAAGGATCTATAAACCGACGCCATTGTGATCTATTCTGAGCCATGTCATTCGCAGTCTCCAACCATTGGTTACGACAGTCCCACGGACCCCAACCAAGTATTCTGCATCTACCAACATGGCTAAGACTAGAAGTAATGATATGATTAAAGATACTAATAAGAACTTTAGATTATTATAAATGAACCAAGGTAGAATTCACTGTCCTATAGATTAAGCAATTGTGAACTAAGCCAATTATTATATATTCAGTATATAAGTTAATTAGTCAGAATATCATAATCTATTTCGATTTTTCTCATGTACTAATTGTGAAATCGAGAATATAAAGTTTTAAAATATACAAAAAATTTACTACTTACATAATCTTTGATGAGTCGAGGATAAATAGACCTTCATTTATATACATATATATTTCGAATATTTTACAATCAATTTACTTATGACACATGGGGTTTTCCAACAATTCATACCAACTCCTTTATATGTCTATAGAGATTAAAAGGTTAGTTCAATAAATCATAAAAATCGGCTTAATATATCGAATTAATTATATTAGTTATTTCTATAGGTAAATAATTGAGGTGTAATGATTTGAATTTTTGCCTTTGTTGATATTTATAATTGAATTTTGACTAGTCGTAGTTGGCATATGTATATCCTGTGCAGATTTTCTCAATAATAATAATAATAATAATAATAATAATAATAATAATAATAAATCAAACCAGTACAAATTGAATAAAAATTCATGGTCGTTACATAGGCTAATGATTGTTTAAATTGAATGTCTCCATGAATAACACAATGGCTGCTGTGAAGCAAAAGGTATTGTGTTTGAGTTCAAACGCAAACATAAACATTGAGATGCATGTAAATCCAGGCTGATAAATCCCATACTAGATGAAATATATGTCGTCGATTCCATTGCTAACTATATTCCAATTTATTTTTATAAGAAATTGATGTTTGTTTATTATAAAAAGTAAATTGTATTTCATACAGTTATTTCTATATCTCAATTTCGTTAGTATCATCCAGTGTATCAATTGTGGGTATTTAGATAGTTTAATAAACATAAATCATTTTCATCACGTAACCATGAAAACTGATTTCTATTGGTGTAACGTCGAAATCATTTACTAAAACAAACAAAAAATTAGCTTCAGTGAGTAAAACATGTTCTGTGTATGATTTGGTAAATATATTAAAACGTTTTCATTAGTTTAACAATTAGCTGAAAGTGAACTAATGTTTGTTTCGAAACAGGCCTATTCTATCTATCAATTAGGAAATAAAGCCACAGATGAAATATTAAGTAAGCACTGGGCGGCTGTCTCGTCCTATTGTGGGACTCCTCAGCAGTGCGCACCCACGATCTCGTCCCACGCGGGATTCGAACGCAGGACCTACTGGTTTTGCACACGAGCACTTAACCACTAGACCACCGAGCAGACCGGCATCCAACGGTGTTAATGTCTAATTTCAACTAATCCACCGAATTGAGCGACACATCCATCATTGTCTTCAGTGAGTTATTATCTCACAAAAGACCTGGTTGAACTCCACTGGTCACTGCTTCTCACTAGAACTCCAGAATATACCTCTTGAAGTCAGTCATTAGTGAGCATATGTTGATTAATATCAGATGGGTTTTGTGGATATGATAGTAACTTTAATAGTTGAGATCATGAGTCGGGCGAAGCCGGCTCGGTGGTTTAGTGGTTGAGAGCTCGCGCTCGTGACCGACAGGTCCTGGGTTCGAGCCTCGCAGGGACGTGATCGTAGGTGCGCACTTCTGAGGAGCCCCACCGATAATGGAGGGAGACGCTCACCACCAGATTAACTCCCTTTGACCTTGTACTACTGTATCTCTCCATTAACCAATCACAGTTTGATGTTCATTGTAAAACAATATTTGCTTGTTGACTCATTTTTCCTATTCTCTAGCTACTGTTCGGTATGTTATTTGTCTGTTTTTTCCCTGTATTAATAGACCGTACAGTTTGTTTGTACACTAACGATGTTAATTTATGTTTTAGAAACAGATAAAGTTTATCAAGCCAAATAGCTTGCTTGTTCTGACTTTGGCCAAACCAAGACTCTGTATTCGACGGTCTAGAGAATAGCTCAGAATTAAACCTGTAGGAAATTGCTCCCTACACAAATGATTGATAGTTAAGTGAAATATTTAAATTTCTTAAAGTTTGAAGTAGTTTGCTATCGGGAAATTCACATAATTCACTTCCATATGATAGGTAATTTGATAGTTTTCAAACTGAAAGTAAAGCATTTGAATTCAAGGTTTCAGTCTAACTGGACAATGAAACCGTTAGTTAAAGTTACATATTTTTAGTAATATAATGTCTAAAATCACGTATATATGGAAGAATAAATGAAATAAAACTGTGGAAATATCTAATAAGACTTAATTATCTAATAGTCAGTTTACATACATTAACCATCTGTTCTTACATTCAAATACCATTGGTATAAATTTCGGGATATTTAAGTACATGGTTTGGTTTCAACGATTTAAAATCTTCCTATGGACTGCGTAATATTCAATGAAATCTTTATTCATCCAAAGTAATTGAAGGAAAAATAATTTTGAATCACATAAAGTGAAATGTTATTAATCAATCGTTTCTACCATACGGTTCAGGTGCTTCGTTTTTTTTCTCATGCCTAATAATTCACTATTCTTAAAATGTGTTCTAACTTTAACTCATTTACGAAGTACATGTTCGTGTGCTGAGCTTTTAGCCGAAGAGTTTTTACGAGGATGCTAATGTTAATTAGATACTCAACTGAAAATCATCCACACCAGTATAGACAGAATAATATCCAAAGTGAGTCATTTAAGCAATTCAATATGAATTTAATTGAAGTTTAGTCTATAAATCTAAGATTACAATATGAATGTCGAGTGCAAAACAAGTATTAACAAAATATAGGTTAAGCTCTGTATTTCAAAAATACCAGTAAAAATAAAAAAGGTTTCAAAGAATAGCACATGCAGGGCAGAAAAGGTGATCAAAGTATTAGAGCAATCTAAAACACCAAAATAATTGTATTGACGGACGCGATAATTGTCTAGTTATTACAAAGAAAGATCATATGGAGCAACTTACAGCCACTAAAAATGTTTCAGCTGAACTCAAACTACTGAATATTAATAAATAGCATAACTAACACACGAAAAGAACCAGAAGAGTTGGAAAACATTTATCATGTAAAAAAAATCTATCACCAGAATATTAGGACGATTCTTTCGGAATTATAATCAGCAAAATAGTTTATGAGTATTATTCTGAACTACCATATTCTTTAAAATTTGGACAGTAAGTTCATGATAGTGTTTAAAGTGCCGGCTCAATGATCCGGTAGGTTAAGCGTTCGCGCGTGAGACTGAAGACCCTGGGTTCTGATCCCGCGAGCCGGATCGTGGATGCGCACTGCTGATGAGTCCCACAATAGGACGAAACGGCCGTCCAGTGCTTCTAGGTTTTCAACGGTGGCCTAATATCAATCTGTTCATGATCTCAATCAAAAACGCAATAATCTCCACAACCCCCATACTAATAAACATTTAGAGATAACGCATTTTTATATGACTGAAATGAAGAATGTTAACGTTGGAATAATTGTGTGAGATAAAATGGTTAATTTTAATTAATTATTGATCGTTCTGATGACATTCAATTTCTTAAAATTATTAGAAAAAGACTTCGTAATTACGCTGAAACAAACTGATTGAAATCATTGGGTTTCTGTTTGCGAGGTCGTAGATCCGCAGTGTTGAAGATGAAGAGCCCATCCTTTCTTTTCGTTTTTTCAATGGTTGTTTAAATTAAATCGATCTGAGATCTCAACTAAAACAACTCGGTTAACAAACATAACTTCGTGTTTCTATGTTGTTTTGATTTTAAGTTATCAATCAACTCCAACCAAACTTAATGCAAGACTTTGTTCATTTACATTTTTTTGTGTATTCTTTCCGTTATCTTGTGAATTAATGACTATAGATTTTAAAGAAGTTATAACCCATTAATATTTGATTACATATACTTTCAAATATGTTTAGCGATTATTAAGAGAGTTGGAACTTAGTAAACGTAATTGTTCATGCTAAATATTGAATAGAAAAGTAAACAGTTCAAATCAACTGTTGATAAGCCGCCTAATTATTCTATACCAGTAGAGTAGCAATTACATTATGAATAGCTCATTGTTCGCATCTGTCACTTAGGAGCTAAGTGACCAATTTTTGAGTGCGGATTGAAGTATGAATGTTTGCAATTCTGAAAATACTCAATGCTAATCTAGGATAATAAACATATTAAATTTTGATATAGTAAATATGACGTCGATGAACTTAATTTTATTTCAGTAGTGCGATAGTTTTGTTAAACCTTTGTCAAGAAACAACAGACGAAAAATGATATAGATCTGGACAATACAATACATTAGTTTCTGTTGACAGTTTACGAAAAAATGAATATGCTATTTCATGCAAAGTAATCAGTTTATGTGAAAGACATGTCATGTTCAGTTTAGTGTTTAGTCTTCTGATGAAAACGCAGAGAAATGAAATCAATGCTTATTATTTTACTCAATGCATTTTATTGGCAGTTTAACAAATTAATAAAAAGAACTAAATGAATGGGATATACATAGTCAGTTAGGATATTTGGTCAGTCAGACCTATGTCATCTCTGTTTTTGACAATGAATTACAACGCTTAAAATCAACCATCTTCGATTGGTCCAATCGATATTTTAATATAGAATGAAAGGTTTACGATAATTTAACAAAAGAGCAAAGAAAACAACTCAACTACATAGAACTACCAGATGATCGACTGATGATACATCATCGAAGATTTACAAATGTGTTTATGAATGATCGAAAAGTCTACACCATTAATTCAGTTCTTCAAACCTATTGACTAGCAAAACAAGACTGAAGTGTTTATATTGGATTTAATTGAAACCCCTGAAGAATGGGGATTATTTTTTATGAAAACTTTAAACCACAACTATATCATGGTCCTCCAAGTCAACCAAAGACTAAATTCTCTAACCACCCAGTTCTCTAAATATTTGGATTATGGGTGACCAAACCCTTACATTTCGTCAGGTGACAAACCTCCATTCATTGCCTGTAAAACACTTTGGTCTACTACATGTAAGATGGGAATATGCATGAGATATTTTTTATACTGTTTGACTTTTAGTCCCCTTGTATTAATGTTTTACCTAATAGAAACCACGTATTCTAACAGTAGAAGCATAGAGTACAACATATTGAAGAGCTAATCAACTTGAAGAAGTTAATAAACCAAATATCAATGTTCTTGATTTTCATCCATCACAAGAATAAAAAGTTAATGATCCATCTTCTCATACAAAAATCTAATGGATTCTTGTTTCGAACATTATCAAAAGAAGAGATGACACTGTAACAAAAATACTTATTGAAAATGAATATCAATGAATATTTCATAAAATGAAATTATAAAACCAAACTTTCATATTTATGATTGTTTATCAATGTTACCAAAATGAATTAAATTCTATGGTCTTCCTTAAAAAATTTCACATAAAATTAGAAAGAAAAGAAAAAACCCCACTAAATCAGTAATAATAATAATTAAACAGCATAAAAACATTAATGAAAATTAAGAAGCAGCCCATGAAGGAATAAGAGATTCAAAAATTCTTAGAATATTAAAAGCTATGGATCCAGATTTCATAAAAATAAATAAACTTATAACTATAATATAACAAGTTTGAAAATATTTTAGTACATGACATTGTTCAAAAGTGTTCACAAATTCACAGTAACTGATAACTAAATCAAAATGTTTTACAAAATGACAAGTATCATATACAATATACTAGATTTACTACAAACAATAGAAATTAGATTACATAATTATATGTGGTTCAGAAACAGATTGTGATATTGAATTATGAGGAAGAACAAGTGCTCCATTAAGGAAGAGTTCATCTTTCACAGTTACATCCTCTCCTAGAACTGTAACATTTTCCATTCTTACCTACAAAAAAAAATTAAATTAAAATTTAATAGGCTATAAAACTAATAATTATTATTGTAAAAATATTCATTTATAACGTTATTCATCTATTCTTATATTCAATATATACCACTTAATTTGAATGTTTATTCATTTGAAAACACAAACATTAGTATAAGAGCCCACCAGTTACATATGTGCCACATAATAACAATGAAGTTGTGAAAAGAAAGAGAATGTAAAAAAGTATAATGAAGAATAAGAACAACGAACGGAAATAATTGTATGAAGGTGAAATAATAATAATAAACAGTTCATTTAGAAACAAAAGAAGTTACGTTCAATTTTATAAAGAAAATAAAGGAAAGTCACAAAGGGATCTCCACTGGCCTCTATTCTGAGCCATATCTGAAAACGTCTCCAGCCACTGTGTTGTACCATCTCTCGGACCCCAGCCAGAGAGTCTTGAAGGATCAACAGAATCCAGTCCTGTACACCTTTCTTTCATATCACGACACCATATCATACACTGACCACCTATCTGCTTTTCCGAACCACTCCCAACGTCGGCAAATAATGCACGACGTGGAATTCTCTTGGACGACATTCGTAGAATATGTCCAAGCCACCGAATTCGATGTTTCAAGATAGTGACACCAATTGCATTATCGTCTCTGTGCCCGAACACACGATGCCGAACCTCTACATTACTAACATGGTGTTGCCGCTGGATGTCAGCAATCCTTCGGAGACAATGATGACCAAACATGGAGACTCGTCTAACATTCTCAACTCGGAGAGGACAGGTCTCACAAGCATAGAAAAAAACTACTCTCACCGACGTGTTGTAGATCCAAACTTTTACAGCCAGACCAACATCACGAAGGCGCCAAAGGTGGTCCAGATTGACATAAGCCGCTCTGGTTTTCACTATACATGAGTCGATCTTATCTCTCACGCCACCACTAGCACTTACACAACTACCACCCCAAAGCACGAACTTCTCGACTACTTCTATCTGCTCACTTCCCAGGGTGAGTGCAGGTTCAGGGTCCTGACAGTTTTGTAGAAGCACTTTGCACTTTGAAGGTGTAGACTCTATGCCATACCTACGAATGTTGATTGTCAACTGATTAAGTGTGGATTGAATAGCTTGGGTATCGTCGCACAGTAAGACAATATAATCCGCACACTCAAGGCCGGAAAGTTGATCCAGGCAACAGATCCACATCAACATTACCTACATCCATTAGAGCTGTTTCCAGAACGTCGTTGATGGCGAAGTTGGAGAGGAATGGTGAGATTAGGCAACGCTGCCTAACCTCACTGCTCGAATGGAACAATGGAGAGAGGTGGTTGTATGTCCTCACTCTGCCTGAGGTGTTTGTATTTAGGGCTTTCAAAATGTTAATAAACTTCTCAGACACATCCTTCTTAAATAGACAATTCTAGAGAACAGTCTTGTCCGACGAATCGAAGGCAGCCATGATGTCAAGAAACACTATGATTGTTGGCCTGTGATAAGTATGACGGTGTTCTACCATTTGATGGAGGGTGAGGATATGATCATTACATCCGCGACCAGAGTTAAAACCAGCCTAATCCTCGCGAGTCAAGCTTTCTCGAGTTTTGAACAACCTACGAAGTATGACAGAACCCAATAGTTTGAATGCAATCGAAAGTAGACTAATCTCCCGATAGTTGTTGAAGAAAAGACGTGAACCTTGTTTAAAGACAAGAATTACATGTCAATATTTCAATTTTTGATAACAAAAGTGACAATTACTAATCTCGTTTGACAAATGCATTTATATACACGAATGATATACTTTATTTCAGGCCGAAAATACATTAAATATATTAGTAGAATAAATTACCTCTAGAACGTTAATGAATAAAATATTTTGAGTATTAGTATCATATTAGTTTTGGCAAACTTTTGTAAAGAAATTTGTACAAAACAGTATTATGGTGAAAAACTATATGATATTTAATGTTTTATTTTTAGAAGGGTTTTAAGTTTTTTTCACTGCTTATATTTGAAAATTATGTTTAATTAGTCTGCTAGTAAATGGGATTGAATAAAAATGCACCTAGTTGATAAATCCCAAAATAGGATGACAAGCATATCTTTGATTAAACTGCCAGCTGATATTCGAAGTATAATTTTTAACTGATATTTTAATTATATAAACAGAGAGATAAGATACAAACAATACTGTGAACAATAATTTATCAAAATGATAGAACGATCACTCAGCCTTAATAAATATACATTTCTTTGATCCTGATATGTTAGGTTTATTTAAAAAAGGTATTGTATATCAAATTCATTATTAATCGATGATTACTGCCCATGTACAGTGGGGATATCAGATGGGCACTTTGAGAGTTAGGCGGAGAACATGCTGGGTATATATAGTCAACTGATTGATAAGGTTGTGAACATTTACAGACTGAAGTGGTTGATACTTGAATTACACAATATTCAACCACCCAAAAAAACTCCATATACAATATCATTCAGTAGTAACGAGTAGATTGGAAAACAGTTAGGGTGACTTAAATAACATATGGGATTAATCAACCGGGTATCTAATGGTTAGTCTGATCTGTATATTGAAAGATGTAAACTCTCTGATTTAGAACAATTCAAGAATTTTAATCAGTGGTTGGAAACTTTGGAAAATACGGGTCAAAATAGAAGCAGTCATTCATTGTTTTCCTGTTCAAATTGTTTCTTTTATATTATTTTATACCTTTCCCTCTCAAATTTGATAATTTTTTTCCCAACATATCTTTGGTAAGAGTAGTTTCTCTGCTATCTTTGGAATTACTTTTCTAACTTTTTCTTCATTTAAATTGTTGATTCCCACGAGATATTCTAATAGGAATTGTAGTAAATTATGCTAGTCCATATCTGTTTGAGGTCATATGTTGTTTGTGGCTGACTGATCTATTAGCTTTGTCTAAAAAATAATAATTCTTTTCAACTGAAAAAAACATAGTGTCCTACAGTTTGATAAATTTGACTAGTAATATTATGCAATGAACCCAATGATCAAGCATAGACTTCATTCCATAATTAGATAATCATCGAGAGAGTAACGTAATATAAAAATCTAATAAAGTTTAATTATTTGGTTAAAAAAGATGTGAGTATAGGTCATAAGTTGTTACCAGAATACTGAATACGAACTACTGAAGTATCACTGATATTTAGTCTGAAGTTGAACAATCATTCTTATTAAAAGTACATTAAAAAGTTCGATACTGTCATAGTGATTAGTCACATGTTGACCTTTTACATGATTTATTTTGAAAGTTAGTATAATGAAATTACTGTGTCTGGTAACATTTATGTTGTTTCTTTTTAGAGTAGTTATCTTGATGTGACGATTCTGAAATGATTAAGCCAATTACATTTACTCATTATCCAGTAAATGATAGATCCTGTAAGTTTTTTTTGAAAAACTAAAAATGCAAACGAACTCTACATGAGGGCAAATCATGATGTGTGATCATTTAGTGAAATGATGAACTGTTAATCCGAGCCATGTTGATGGGTTGAGACCATTTGATTGGCGTCTGTGTAATTATCATGACGGATAGTTGGAGACTTTGGCTGATACATCTCAGAATAGGATTTAGTGGTGCTGATCCATTCATTCTATATCTTAATCTAAATCTTGAGCTCTAATATCCATTCATATTTACTTTTTCACTCTTTCTTCTCGAACGATATTCTCAATGTTTAATCTTTTCTACTACTATCAGTTACTTCGATTCCTTTACTATTTCATTATGTTAATTCCGTTCGGACGTGATATTATAGTATACAGACTTGCGATAATACACAAAATGTACTATCTTCGATATTGCTCATAACTGACTGACTGCAAACTGAAAATTTGAGGATTATCACCAATATATCATAGAAAAGTGTAGATAATTTTCATATGATTAGTATGATAATCTCTTCGAATTTCAAAATATCCCTGTTCCACATAGGTAGACAGATAATTTTAAATATCACAAAACGGAAAATATGGTCTGTTCGCTCATACTTCACGGAAAACACCACTGGTGGAGAAAAACTGGAAAACGAGGCAAAGAAAAGCATAGACGCAAGGAAACAAGAGAAATACGGTATTTCAAACTGATCCATTCATAATTAATTTGAATCAGTAACCAACTAGTTGAAAGCCGAGTCAACGAATTTAAATGCAGATAATCAAATGAAAAGCATGTAACTTATCTATTCCTTATTAAATTTTAAGTGAAAAGGGGTTAAGTGTTACTGTCAAAAAAGTTTAATGAAATTTACTAAATGTGTAAATTTCCTCAGTAAAGTACGAATCAATTAACTAGACATAAATCTATGCTCCCATTTCATACTGAGCTTATACTCCAATAAATATATAAAATGATATCTCCTGAATATCTAAATTTAGGATGATGATTCAAAATCAAACTTAATTAAGGAAAACAGTGATTAGTGGTCACAAAACCACTTTTAGTTTTTATAAAAGTATGAAAAACAAACAAACAAAGAACCATATCGAATTTTGTACATGAAGTGCTTTAAACAAAAGTTTTCACAACGTAATGACACGGAGCACAAATATACATGTTAACACTAATCAGTGGCAAGAAAATTTCATAGTTATGTTAGGTGGATGGAGATAGTCGTCAGGATACCCTAGACTTAGGTTTTGTGGTAGTCGGTCACTAGTCGGAAACCCCCATCTGGAGTATTGATGGAACTTACGTTCCCTATGAGATTTAAACCTTCATCACCCAGTTTTGCAGATTGAGACGTTATTACTGAGCCAGTCGGGTCGCGATTGGCCTTCTGTAAAACTGAGATATTTACAACTGATTGATAATTTAACTGGTTTGTAGATTAACGAGGACATTTCCCAATTAAACTAATATGGAAAGAATACTTCTGCAATCAAATTAACCTACCCATTTTCCAACAACTGATCTCCAGCCAACAATACAATTATTTAACCAAGAATGAGATTTAATGATTGATTTTGAAAAGATAGCTGAGTTAGATATACGTACTCCATCTTCAATTATGACACCTGCACCGATGGTCACATTAGGGCCTATTCGACAACCGTGACCTATTTTTGCAGTTTCATGCTAAATAAAGTTTGATTTTCAAAAAAAGAAGTGAGAAAAGAGGAGCATATTAACCGAATTTTATCTAATCAACAAGACAAAAAACATTCAGTGGTGTTCTACTCATTTGAAAAACACCAGATATTGATGATAAACAGTTACTCCGCTCTTCAGTGTATATATAGCCCAGCTTGATAACTGACCAAGAATCACCATGTGGAAATACTCACAGAAAAATAACCCATAAAATATTTGGATAAAAATCAAAGTTACTTTTTTAATGATACTTAAGTACATACTGTAAACTTTCAACATGTTTTAATATTTCCCTAGAGAAGATAACGCGCGTGACATTTTAATGTTTAGATTATCTACGAAGATGTTACAAATGACTAGATAAAAATCATATTCCTGAATAACTGTCCTCAAAAGTTTTAACACTTAAAAATTGTTAGTCAAATTTATGTTTCAGGTGACCTGGTTTTTTATTATTCGCATAGTTTGTCAGTTGACATTTCACCTTGGACTGAGAAAACATCATCAAAACGAGATATACATGAATGTGAAGCTGAGTAACTCTTTGAAACAGGTATGATTCCGCATCAGAAATACATTAGTTATCCATAGTAAAGATTTCACGAACAAACCATTGGAAAAGAACAGGACTTTGATTTTTAACTTCTTATCCATGGTGTTCTTTTATACAGACTGTATCTATTTCTATACTTTTTAGTTTGAAATCCCGATTGTTCATATTATGCAAATACAAATGATAAAATATTGTAGCATTTTACGACTAAACAAAGGTCATAAAAGCTTAGCTAAGAAAGATAATTGTATTGAACAAGTAAAATTCTTTAGAGTTTCTATGGGTATTTTCGTTTCCTTTCACCGTAGAATCTTGAATGAATATTAGAAAAAGAGAATATGAATAATAAACTTGATTCATGGCAACACACTGACTCCACTATGAACGATTATGATTGAACCGCGAAATATAAATTCTACGTTAGGCTAACCCTCTTGGTCAACAGCGGTAACAAAAGCCAAGTACAAATTGAGTTGGAAGAATTTATTTCGGGTATTCATTTATTCAGACAGGCTGTAAAAGATGAATCCAGAAGGAAGGCTTCCCAGCCTACTTCATTTTATTAAATGTGACTAAACAGGGAACGAATATATTAAGTGACAACTAAACACATGCATACATATGCCCATATAAAAACAATGACAGTTGCAATCGAATAATTGACAAATGCAAATACATGTGTACATAGAGATTGGAAAAACTTGGATTAATTTAGAAAAGATGGACTTTGGCTAGCATTGGAATTCAGGACGTATACTTTGTCCTGTTTGAGGACTGTCAGCTGGATGTACCTGGATCCCAGAGTTGATATTTACCCTGGAAATTGAACCCAGTGCCGTTCTCTTGAAACCCCATAATGTGATTTACGTAGCTACTGAGTTGATCATTTATGCAATGGATATGTGTTTTAGTTCAACATGAAACGGTTTGGACTATCCAGTTGTTGATCTTCTAACTGGAATTTGGTCATTCTTGGCTGGAGCGGACGTTACTGGGTTCAAGTCCGGGAGTGAACATCAACTCTGGGATCCAGGTACGTCCAGACGACGAGTTCCATATTGGATAGAACGCGCGTTCTGAATTTTACTCCTTTCCATATTCCATTTATTCTATATTAAATTGTGTCATGATGACTTTGTCGAGGCAATCCACAGAGAATGCACATATCCTAGCCAAAACTGATCGAATTCCAGTCGAAATATTAACAAGGGGATAATCCTAACCACTTCAAATTGGATTGGATCAATTCGTTTATCAAAGACATAACATAAGTCTCTTGAGTTTTATAAGGAGTCGATACGGGCACCAAAGATTTTATTCAATCATACAGTATATAATAATACAACATTATCGCATAAATTAAGTCCAAATACGGGACGAATGGCAGTTACTCAGTATTTGATGAATCAAAGGTAAAGGGATTTGACGTACAACCAGTTAGAGCGAAGGGCATTTGTTCATACTGGACGTTCGCTGTAAATAACTCCAGTTAATTAACACGTCATGACACATATTTGAAAAAAATTAAGACTAGCTCTATCTAGTTTTTATTCCTCTGTTCAAGTAAATGCTCATATTAAGATGAATCCCATGCACAGGTATAAAGAAAGGATGTCGACTATATGTGTTCGAATAAATTTCCAAGTAAAAAAAATTCATTTTGAGATGTAAAGTGGTTGGTTGACTGGAAACCCTGCAGACATAACAGTAGTATTGTTGGGAACTGGTGATCCCTGACGGCTTTGATTCTGTCACCTAGCTTTACAATCAAACACGTAGGTACTGAGCTAATCGAATCTAACATAACTGCGAATGGATTTCAAGAATCAAAGGAATAAGTTGTCTTTGGACTTCATTTTAAGTTGTGTTCTAGCTAAATATTAAATATATTAATTATGATAAATAAACAATTCGGTTCAGTAACCTCTTAGTGTTTTTTGAAGGTAGAGTTGTCACCCATACACTGTAAAAACGAAAGATACTACTGGGTCCCTTCACACACGTCTAGGTTTTATAAAACACCAATGATTGATCTGTGATCTAAACGTGTTCATGTTATTTCCTCTAATGAAAAAGCTATCCCAAAATGTTCTCAAAATCTATACACATCTCAATCAAGAAAAATAGGAACTCTCTTTATATGATTTGCATATGACAGTCTTTTGAGTGGAAAAACTAATTATATCCACATGTAAATGAAATGTTTATTAAACACAAATAAAAACTCACAACAAGAACATTTCCTATCAAATTCGGATCAACTGTTAACAAAGGTGATTTACATTCATATAAATGGCCCAAATATAATCGCATGCCCGTTAGATAATCTGCAGGTTGACCAATATCCATCCAAAACCCTTATGTGAAAGCAAATAGTCGAGTGAATTCAGTAGAAAATTATTTATATTAAAGCATTAAAGTAAACATTTTCAAAAATGATTAGGCAAAGGATAATTAATATTTATATCATAACAGTTGACAATAAACTGTCTTGTAGACTTTGAATATTCAGGTTAATAATAAAAATGTAGACTGGAAATTTTAAAAACATTGTAGCCACGTGCAGCAGTGACAATAGAATAATGTGATCTAGTATAAACTGCAATTATACCACAGGCTTGATTTAGTGATTAGGTTTATTTTATGGTAAATTCAAGTGAGTTAAATATGGTGATCGTATATCCTACTAAAATGATATAATCCAAACTAAATAACGATCAGTGTGATATTCAAACACAACGAACTAACAATTTGACGAAATGCTTGGTATAATATCACTTGATAATCGAAATCAGCTTTACAAATTATGATTTCCAACCACCCGCCAAGTTCATGTAAGATGCATACGACTAACAAAGTATTATATATAAATACTTTACTCATGAAGTACCAAACATATATTTTGTGCGAACAAACATTATAAACATCATAACGGCAGTATAAAAATAATTACCGTCATGTCAGACATTGATATTTGGATTTATATTCACAGAAATGAAGACAACTCAGATGGACTGTCTGTACAAGGCATCATGTATCTAATAAAACTCAAACCATCCGGCTTACTTAATGAAACAAAACACCATAAGAACAGGGTACAAATGTTCCAAAAGTAACATGTCATGATACTAAATGCATATCTTACATATTATTCACTTCAATCCGAATATTGCTTAGGTGTCGAAAAATAAACAATATTAGGAAGCATTTTATCACTATTATTTTAAAAATAGATAACTTAGAATGCAAAACGTATACTATATTTTAATCACTAGCTTTTCTACATAACTAGCTACTGAATACTTACTTTGTTTGTTAAGACCTAGATCTGCTGAAAAGCAGATATATTCCCTGAAAATCACAAAACATCTGACACAGACCTCAAGAAGTTACGTTTCTATCATTTATGTGGTATAACTATTGATACCTTAAAATGATATTGGTTAAATCTTTAGATGCACATGTACCCATGGTTAGCATTTTGGATAGCCGAATAAATAATTTTAAAGTCCATGACAAAGCATTTACTGTAAATGTCGTATTTACGTGCAGAAAATATGACATTATTAAATAAAGCCACATAAATTCATCTGATGAGTCTCAACCCAAAACTTTCGAAACCGGCTTCAACAAAATGTTTTCAGTGGTCACAAATGGTAAGATCAAAAAGGTAAAACTTCTTACAAGATAACGATATTAGAAAACTTTGTATAGTATCTGCGCTTCATTATTTAATACTGTTTTATGACTCTGCTGTGGTGTATGAATTCAAGTGGTTTACTAACAGCATTCTAAGTATCTGGAAGTATTCGCATAACATTGGAGTAATAGCTCAGTGACTAAAGAGTTCAACTCTCAGCCAGTACAGCCCAGGTTCAAACTTCAACCTACCTAACGCTGTTATTGCTAGTATCAACTGCCCAAAGTTAGTTAAACTAATTTGCACCTGGAAAATTAGTTGGTAGTAAAAACATTCATATAAAAATTAGTGCGTCTAAAATCACTACGTTATTAAACCTCTGCTGTACATGCCCCTTAATCTAATTTTAAGTCCTCGTTTCTGTCATAAAATTTTACCGACTAACTTGGAAAGCGTTGTGAACTTTAATTCATTTAAGTGAAGTGGCAAAAGTACAATAAACAGTTACAGGTCCTCATATTCCGCTGTGATCCTCACTTTGTCTGCCGGCTAATGATATTATTCGGTATCGCCAACCGAAGTATTAACACGAATTCTAAAAGCACTAATTTGGTGACTTGAAATTGAGCAGAGTTGGTGTTTTTCGAGTCTACCACGGTTAAGTGACTCTGAAAAGCAGCTTTCCAGATAAGCTTATTTGAAACCGTTACATAACTAGAGCATCCAACATTACCTTCAGTTATCTTCCCGTTAAACTTGAAAACAAAGGCGCTGCAACTTATAGATCAAGAATTATAAGAATTATTCACAATGCTTGATCATTACTAGCTGACAGTTTTGAGTACAATGCTACTAAATGCAAATCAGAGGGATCATTTGTCTCTCTGAGGATGATTTTAAAGTTTGGAAATTCCAGCCAATATGTGTTGCAGTTCTTAATGTTTCAACATGAAGTTGCTAATCACCAGTGGTACCATGGCTTTGTGTCTTTGACACCTAATACACTTCATAACAAGTGAAACCCTATGTTCCTAAAATGTATGAGTTACACTTACACCTACGATAGTTCAGAGAAACGCATAAATCTTGTAATATTATTCTCAAAATGCGTACACTTATAACAACCGAACATTAAAAATGTGTTAAATAGTATCTGAACGTTTTCACATCGCGCTAACTAACATCAAGGTATAAGTGACTGATATAACACTGTAAAAGCAGAATATTAATGAATTTCTCAAAAACAAGGTGTTTAAAAACCTTCACTCATATTCGAACAAATTCGGTTGACAATTATGAGACATTTGTCTAATCAGGTGCTTGTAGTTATATAAATTCTTCATCAAAAATTTTGAACAAGAGATTGTTCTAAGAACAATAGTCAAAGTGAAAGTTGTACTCTGGTCTGAGGTTTAGTCCAAGTTCTACCTTGACAATATTTTCTTGCTATGATAATCTAGTGGAACAACTTGAAATAACGCACATATGTATCAGGTCCTATGTTGAGAGTGATGGAGTGAACAACAAATGGATTTGTAGTGTGAAATGATATCATACTGGTAAAGTCTTCAGGAAACCACTACATACCTGAGAACTCAATGCAGTACAGTTCAGAATCCCTCACCATTGCTGGAAAAACAGCTGTTTCAATGGACATCGGCTTGGCCTGTAAATAACGGAATTTGCAAATAATGTCACCTCAATACGCTTGAGAATGGTAGGCTCAAAAATGTAGAGTCCAGCGTTAATTCTGTTAGCGACATATTCCGATGGTTTTTCGACAAAACGTTTTACAAGACCTGTTTGATCATTGTGCACCACAGCACCATACTTTGACGGCTCTTCAACTTTTGTGACCTAGGTATTTGAAACTAATAGAAACACATTTACTGCCATTGTACCCTCTTTTCCATGAGATAAGTGGAATTCTAGCATTCGTTTGAAAGGATAATTACAAATGATATCGCTGTTTAGAACAAAAAACCTTTCTCCTGCTAAAAATGGCGCCGCCTGTGCAAGTGGACCTCCTATAATAATCAGAATAAAAGGAATGAAAGACACTTTACCTGTGTCCAGTGCTTCCTTTTCGTAAGAAAATACAATTTTTACACTGGTGTTTTGAATTACCTAACAAATACAAGTGCACAGTGATTGACGCTTACTTTATCACAACTTTCTCTTATACTCGATTCCAAAACTTCAGCTTCACGGTTGATTGCAAGGATAATTTCAGTAATGTCAACCTATAATTAAAACAGAATATAGTCTATTTTACTAATACTTCAAGTAAAGCTTTGATTTGATGTAGTAACATTGGTTTGTTTGCGAATTCGACTAGTGGTTTGGGAATACTGAGTGTTAAGGGACGTAATCTAGTGCCATAACCGCCGATTAGTATCAACGCCTTCATTAGTGCGCGGATAACAGACGACAGGAAAATGGATGGCCTTGAAAAGTTCCCTTTCTGTGAGACGATAAAACACATTTTATCGTAGTTTGTTTTTTGAAGTAACAAGTGTATATATAGCCTATAAATGTCTGAAAAAACACTCGTATGTTCACTCATACCGTACATTTTTATCACGGTAGCTCGAATTCTACACACGTCCTTTTGATTGATTTCTATTGGATTATAGCTAAGACATTCCAACAATAATAGTGTTTGCATTTCATGGTGATCACCACCCCTCTTACTATGTCGCTCTGTGGTGACGAGCAGCAAGGTTGGGCCATCCCACTTACTGCTTTGAAAGCTATTATATGTATAACCGTTAATGTCATATTACTGAAACACCTACCCACCTTCCTGTTGATCGGAAGCAGTACCAAGACTCTGAGTCAGTCAGTCAGTCAGTCAGTAAGTCAGTCAGTAACAACGTAGAACTTCGTACGTACGTACATCGGTTCGAGTTGCCACACTACATTAGCACAGAGATGCAGTTGTCGATTCAAATCCCGTAGTGGTAGAGGTAATAAGAGTATAAGCAGTAATAGGGAAGATTAGGGTTTGGAGATGTTATTTAAAGAGTATAATCCAGTGAAATAGATTTGGAAAGAGGAAAAAAGGGGCATGAAGAATTCAGAAGATTAGAATTTGGGAGAACACAGAGAGTGGATGCACCTGCGCCATTGCAAACGATTTTGAGCCATGTCATTCAGGGTCTCTAACCATCGGTTGCTATCATCTCTGACACGACTGGTAACTTTGTAGAACTATGGTCTACTATGATATAATGGCTGCTCTAATAATAGACCTAATCCTGAATTTGTAGATTTGTCATGATATAACTGCCTAATCTATAAGATCTTACGTGGAAGTCACACCATCGACTACACCAACTCACTGTATCATATCAATTACCAATACATGATGTAGAACAAGGTTAGGCTAGAGGAAGAACAATATATTTAATATGAATAGAAGATATAAGGTAACATTCAGATGGACCACGCCTGCATGGCCGAGCCATGCCATCCGATCAAACCCAGTCCATTTAATTCATTGTTCGCGCCTTCTCCATCGTTAGGTATTTCTCCGCGTTAAATATTGAATATCTATTTTCCGAGTTGTCTCATGTTCACAGCTTTGAGGATTGTGTGGTTATGGTCCAATGCCACTACACTACTCCCCCACCAGAATCAACGTGGTGTTGGTTCGATACCAAATTGGATGGGATCGTCGCGCGCCGGAGGTTACCAAGACTCGTAAGAATCCCCCGGGTAATGATAAGCTGAAAGATAAATAAAAAAGAAGGCAGCAGCATCTGGTCGGGAAATACATGTAATAATTTTAAAATATCTGCCTTCATGCTTAACATACTTGAAATGAAAATTTGGGTGAAGATTATTTGAGCTATAAAAAATGGGATTACAATAATAATAATAAAACGATGCGTGTTAATAGCCGTTGGTTAATAACTTAACGTATAGGTAGTAAGTATTTTGTGTTTAGAAATATTAAAAGCAATGAATATTGTAGAAATGTTAATATTGGTATTAGTTTTGGTTTAAATTATGAAATCAAATAACGATTATGCCGGTAAGTTGTCCATATGAGTTGAATTCCAATTGCATCTGTATTAGTAGGCTAACTGAAGGAACAAAAGTATACCGTGGAGAAGAATTCCAACTAGTGTTCCAGTTAGTTTGATACGGTTTATTTAGTTACGGGGAGATTTTCTCAACCTCATTTTTACTTGACCGTGATAGAATTTAGTAATACTACTAATACACATGAATGGTTATCAAAACAAAATTTAAATACGTGAGTGATAATTATATGAATTTTGGACAGATAGCTAGGAACAAATCGTTAAACATGAGTGTATTCGTAAGAGACATGCTCTAGACTCAATGTTCTGATCTGCGGCAGACTATTTATTTATATTTATACTTGCTGGCTGATTGGGCATACAAGTTAGTTGCAAGTATGCAGTTTATCATAAGGCGGAATACGATTTAATTGAGATATAGTGGTTATAAGTTATTAAAATCAGTTAGGCCTGTGTCATATTACGAAGTGATGTGGTGCTGCAAGATGTATTTAGCTAAATAAGTTTTTACAAGATGATTAATAGTGAGTGATGCTCATGTGATTATCAGAGAGAACATAAGTTGTAACCAGGGGAGTACACTCCCAACTCATGTCTATGATAATGGCTTGAACCTTAGTCAGTGTTGGGGTAAATTCGACATTGATGTTTTCAGTTTGCAGGAGATTTGCTCGACTGCTTATACTGATTATTTGCATGCATGATTGTGTCGCTAAACCATCAATTAGACTGACAAGGTTTTGAGATATTTACTGAATGAGCAACTGATAGAGAAACATACTGTAATCATCTGTGATGGATGAAGATACCAAGAAAACAACACCATTTAATGGTAATTATAAGTCAATTTGTTGACCGATTTCGTTAATAGTTTCATTAATTTTATCAGTCATATTACGTGATTGTCAAGTTATGACAATGCTTTATGACGATATCCTGAAACTATTAAATTTAACTAGTTATAGTGTTGATTGAGGATTAGTCAGTGGAAAAATAGGTATTGTTGCTTTAGGTGATTCGAAATCATCAGAAATTTATAACGTTAAAGAATCCGAGACGCCTAATTTAATTATAAATTTCAATTCAGAAATATTCGTTTAGTGTTAATTCTAGTAGGCTACGGAGTTTTGATTTTAAACGTTTGTTTAGCCAACAGCTACTTATGATTTAGTTATTTTACTAGTGCAGTTGATAGTACCTAAATTTTTAATCTTATTATCTAAACTATGTTCGCATTTTAGGCTGCTAATATGATAAAATAATCCATAAACCCAAATACGATTAGCAACAACGACTATGATGGGTTTATTGATAAATGTTAAAGGCGATCCAGATGATTTCTAAATTTAGAAGACATGGAGATATAGTGTAACGTATGTATGGGCCAGGTTAACATGCAGGTTGTTGACGTATATGACGATTTAAAAATAATGAACATGACCAGAAAAAAATTTTAAAGTTTAGACTGCTTGTGAAACTTCAGGCAGGAATATGATGCGTTATAAACATTCCATAAGAAGTTACTGCATTTAGCCTAGGGACACTTACAAATATATAGCAAAAGGAACCGGAAAACATATACATGTTAAGTAAAAAAATCATTAAGTAAAATAGTTGAACTCGCCTGGGTTATTTTTGAAAATTAGATTATTCAGTGGACGACATATATAACGCCATTCGTGAGGAGTAGTAATGATCCAAAAGTATCCAGAATAAAACATGCAGTATGGCAATTAATTCCAGGGTGCTTGATGCTGTTGACGTTTTTGCCACTCGCTCGGATCAGAACAACCGAATGAATCCAGATAATTGTGCGGTCACCATTGAACGAGCCATCTAAAATGACCTTATGATTGCAGAAAACTTATGGCTGAAACTCACCGTATGTTTTTAGAGAAGTGTCATCCTTGTTGTTTGGCAATGGAACTCGAGAATTTGAAATTAGGCAGGCAGTGGTCGGAAGAAAAGATATTACAGGATAGTGCATAGTTTAAAACAGGATGAGGTGATAAGATAAGGAACACTGAATATTAGATCCAGGTAACTATTTAGTCCTTGCTGCATTGTTAGTCAATGTATATTTGCGTTATTTACAGGTCATATTTGCTAGAGCTTGATGCTTAAACAAGTCTATGTCGCTGAAGCATGTAAATGCTATTAAAGCTTGTTAACGAACCATCAAAGCTAATTAGTTAATATAGACGACCAGTTTTTATTATCGATTGAGCTACTGTGTCATGAGAACTAATCAATATAACATTACGATAATACATGCGAGCATTAATCAGGACTGTTAGAATATTGGGTTAACATAAATACAAAATAGATCAAGAAATTTAGAATGGAAATAAGATTAACAATAATAGGTTGCGTTTCTCTAGTCGGGCTCACCAATGTAGAACTATGGTCTACTATGATATAATGGCTGCTCTAATAATAGACCTAATCCTAAATTTGTAGATTTGTCATGATATAACTGCCTAATCTATAAGATCTTACGTGGAAGTCACACCATCGACTACACCAACTCACTGTATCATATCAATTACCAATACATGATGTAGAACAAGGTTAGGCTAGAGGAAGAACAATATATTTAATATGAATAGAAGATATAAGGTAACATTCAGATGGACCACGCCTGCATGGCCGAGCCATGCCATCCGATCAAACCCAGTCCATTTAATTCATTGTTCGCGCCTTCTCCATCGTTAGGTATTTCTCCGTGTAAAATATTGAATATCTATTTTCCGAGTTGTCTCATGTTCACCTTTGAGGATTGTGTGGTTATGGTCCAATGCCACTACAACTTCAAAACGTAAAACGCCTACAAATTATCCAAAAAATGGTTGAATTTTCTCCTAAGTAATTGCGAATTTATCGTATTTTTACTAAGATAATTATAGATTTTTCTAGGTTATATTAATTGTAATTACTCCTAAAACCAGGTACCACTGGGTATTCTGTTGGATGCGTTTATGTGTTTACTAGTCCGACCCAACTTTATTTACTTCCCTCTATTATCAACTAAATATACTAAAATATTCATTCGGCTACCTTAACTAGTTTTACAGACGCCTCAACTATTTTTTTATTTCTTAAATTATTTTAGTCACGAGTCAAACCCTATTTCGAACTACAAACTTTTGTTACGCCAGTTCAGTTTCGCCAAACAAGCGACAAAGTTCAGGATTCGTCACTGAATTCGGGCATTGTGATGTAGTGAATAACGACGTTATGAAAGCATTTCTCTTCAATTATTAGCAAGCTACAGACTAAGCGCTGATCGATGTATAACTAGACAACACAAGCCTTTACAGAGGCGGATAGTTTGTCAGCCTTACTATCTATAAACAGATGACAACCTGCCTATCAACTGTTGATTCTATTCTGAATGTTAGTGAAACAACAATTTTATCACTGTTAGCTGGTAGAGTCAGGAAATCAAAACAGAGAATACTTCCTTATTTCGTCAATAAATAGGCATGAAATATGATGTACTGTCTGATTCTACAACCAACGTTCCCTTAAAACGGAATTTATGTACTTAAAAACAAACAATCAGTTCACATGGCAACAACCGAATTTGTAGGGAGTATACAAACATGACGACTGCTAGTAACAAGAAAACGTAAATGTAATGTACTTGAATAAAGAGGCCGATGCAATGATTAGGCACAAAGTAAAACTAAGAAAGGCATCGATGAATCATATATATATATATATATATATATATATATATATATATATATATATATATATATATATATATATATATATATATATATATATATATATATTGGAACCAGCGTCCGCGGTTTTTAGTGAAGGGGAACAAAACTTTACTGCTCATCATCCGAGAAAGACGCGTGCCACCGTGTCAGTGGTAATTTCCTTTGGTGGATACTGCTTAAGGCCATCTGTGATACGGTCTGTACACGTTAAAGTGTGAGTGTTCATTTAAATCTAATAAGAGTCCTACTAGATGAAGATGAACACGTTCAAAACGAGCGTCGGAAGTTTTGGAAGAGCGCAAAGGACATTCCTTGTGTCTAACCACCATTTATTTCTGACAGTTTACACAGGAGCGTACCTACTTCTTCACGTCTTTACCCTACCACGGTAATAAAATCTCTCTGTAATGTAACTAATGGCTGTTCGGATATCAGGATGCAAACGTTTGTCCAACTGTTTGATGACATCGTATCGATGGTTTTTAAAACTTTAGACGATCCTTATCTGTAGATCTGTCAAATATTTGACCTCGAACAACTAAGTATATACCAAAACATTAGACAGTTTCCTTATCTGTTGCTACATATCGGCGTGAATATTCTATCATAAAGTTCAGAATTTGTTTATTTACTAACCTTACTTGAGTAATATCTTATCTGTAAACCCTTGTTGTAAATTACTGATCATGCCTCTAAAAATGGCATGTGCCTGCTATATTTTATTACTAATTATAACGTCAACCATATTCATATGTACTTTATATTATCCCATGGTTCTATAATCAGCATGTTCTATTACATCTCAACCTACTGGTGTAAATTATTACAGTAAATGCCGTAAAATTCCTAATAGAGCATGATACACGCCATTTTCACGAGCATGAATAATAATTTTCAACATTGATTTGCAGTCAAGATGCTTCCCAAGCAAGGTTGTTAAAAAGATAAAGTCAATAAGAATGAGTAGCAGTATATTGGTGCGAATATACTGACGAGTAATTAATTGGGCTTATGCGTTAGTACGGTTTTTATATTCTGTTTCTAAAAGGCACCGCATTCACATTGTGTCCTGGAGAAGCACACAACAGATCCTAACTCGATACCTGTGTGTAAAAATTGTGGTATCATTAAGTATTTACGACATAAAACTGTTTAAGAAGTCCAGTGACTTAGTATTGCGTCTTTCCAGTGCTTTTTCCCTATTCTGAGAAGTTCCCTGACTGTTTTAGTTATCCATGGTGGACTGTTATTCGGTTTTCGCGGTGCCAGTTTTGAAATGAATGAGGACGTACCTTAACTAAACTTACCTTTAAATACAGACCATGCTTCTTCAACTGATAAGCTAGTATCTACAAACCAGTCTGTCTTAGCAGCGCATTCCTGAATGGCTGATATGTTAGCTTTCCATACATTTAGGCGGGGTGTGAACTGATCGTATAACATGTCCCTAGTTCTAAACGTGAATGACAAAACAGCGTGACCCCTGTTCACTAATGTTGGAAGAAAATTTAGGTCGACAATATCCCTAGTCTCATGAGTGATTACCAAGTCCAACAGAGAAGAACCTTGGTTAGCACCAAAACGTGTGGGTTTGGATATATGCTGCGCTAATGCATGCTCCATTATTGTCATCAGGAACGTGCTATCAAAGGATTTTATAGATCTTTTCGTGTCCATCTCAGTTCAACTAATATCAGATGCACTAGTCTCTTAATATGAAACATCTGTTATTTGCACTCCATAGCTGAATGTGATCTAAACTTAAGTCATCGGCTAAGCAGATTGGGTTGCGATAGATGATATTGAGTATAAATGTGCAAAGTCCGACGGTCAGCTCACAGCAAATGACTTCACAATCTGCAGTATCATGGGATTCGCAAGCAAAGGAGAGGATATTTATATTACTATGTAATAAAGGACGCCACCTCCTTCCCTACATCTATGTCTATCATTTATTAGGCAATGGTATTCCGAAAATTCTGAAGTAACGAGGAAATCATGGACTAACCAAGTCGCCATCATAGCTACAATGAGTGGTCTTAATTTGTTCACTGATACTCCTAGTTCATATAATTTACTTTTAGACTACGAGCACTAGCTTACATATCCATTACTCAGTACAAAGTGATTGCTTAAACGATTGCTGCATAATTCTTCTGTAAATGTCTTCTAGGTGTTTCGCTCATTAAAACGGTCTCATGTGGTTCAAAAACGGATATACGGCTTTTGATGACCTAATATTTTGTCCCAACTTCCTATATAATTAGTATCCGTTTGTGAAGCATTCATTAGTCATAAATTATGGGTTTCAACAATTGCGCAGTATGAATTATTTGTTATATCATTTCGTCTAAGCAGCACCTTGATTTATTTGAAGGTTTTGGGCTGTCGAAAACAGTGAGTTTAATTGGTCATGTGGACCAAATGACTAACCACTGCTAACCTTTTTAGGCACCATATTAAACGGAGATGACTATGGGTTATCAGGTGGACGGATTTTTTTCAGTCACTTTTACCAGCAACAACAAATAAGTAGTGCACGAGTCTGCTTAAACTCAAGTTACGGTAAGCCTACATTTAGCCGTATGCGACAATCAGTTTTCTATCTTCCACCTGAAGATTGAGGATAGGGTCTCGTATACGACTGTTAGAACTTGCAGAAATAATGCCAGTAACAACAAGATAACATACTCACACCATTACATCTATGATGCACAAAACATGACTAAATCTACCGACTACAATTACTGTTATGGGTGCCGGGGGAGTTTCCGAAGTTTGTTGTAGATGTCTTGAGATAGGGGGAAATTTAGGGATTTGCGCAATCTCTGGACGACTTGTCATAGGTAAAATGGTAGGAACGCCAACCTGGGTTATTTGTTTTAAGCAGTATAGAATCACATCTCTTGCGTATTATTTTCTTACACAGAGAGTACATCAGCCATGTCTCACAATTTGCGGTCATTTATAGGTTAGGAGTGAAGCTACATCCAGGATTTCACGTGGATCGCCGCACAAGAGCGATTCAAGTTATGAAAGTAGCAAAATCTGGATTACCTGGAAAGACAATCTTCATAAACTACCCTCATCCTAAAATTTTGCATGTACATTTGTGGACTTATTAAAACGTAACACTTTCACAGGGGTTAGAATTAGTTTATTTTTAGGCTCTTGCTGATAACTATTTTTCCGTGTTATCACAAAGTATGATAATCCGAACCAAAATGGCGCCAAGTCCCTTCAATAAATTGACAAACATAAAGGAGTACAACTGATTGTGAATGTGCATATTTGCTGGCTGAAACTTGAGTTATTGCACCACTCATAAAGATATATACTTAGTCGTTTAATGAATCTTAATTTATTTATTTCGAAACTACGGGAATCGATAAATCTAAAGATTAGGCCACAAGTCCCACAAATAAATTCATGACTAACATATATTTATATCTGTCGACCAAAAACTAATCGACTTTGACAGAAACACTGAGTTGGCATAATCGGTGGATAGCGAGTCAAATAAATTGGAGTGTGTTACAAGTACCAAAGTACCGCTTAATATCACAAGCCAACTGACTTATACAGAAATAAGTTGGAAACGTTGAAAATAATCATACTAAAACAAAACTATTCCATAAAATCAATAGTGATAATAATCATGAACCTGATCATTTTTATTGATTAGACCACGAGATAATCATAATCAGATGTTTAGTTTTTGATGAAATGATTAAAATTCTCCTATTAAAATGATAATAATAAATTTTCATAATCCTGACTACTTGATTTGTACTCTCTACTTTACCTCTCTTTTTGTTAGTTTTCTACCCTTCCCCCTTATGAAACTAACAAATTACCAAGGTTATGAGAATAATAAAGACCTAGTAATAAGTCGAACGTCAAACATTTATTCATAAATCATACTACATAAAGCTGACTGCATTAATCAATTATGATTTATTAACTGTTGAATAGAAATTATATATAAACATAAAATAGTGAATGAAACACATAAGTTTGCTCGACAATAACAGTTAGTTATGTAATACTTAGGTTCTTTTCTCGTTAGCAACGAGTTAACTTAACCAGTCACTGATACGATACGAAAGAAACCAAAATCTTAATGACTAAAATCTAAGACATTAATGAAGAAAATTGTTTGTCATACAAAAAGGAGATTGGGAAAACTGATTGCTATTGTGAAAAAAAGTTGATTATCTATTCGTTGTTTAATGAGAAAGTTATTTATAATGATAGCAAAAGTTTACTTTTTGAAACGACGAAAAACAAAAATACGTTCAACATCCCGGTGATTGTATTAGCATACCATTCCTCTGTGATGACCGATTAACTATTGCAGATGCATTCCCATTTAAATGATCATGACAGTCAAGTGGATTCTGACCATTACAACTACTAATATGGTTAGATACATTAGAAATGGAAATATCACTATTTTCCAGTTTGTTTGGATTATCTTTAATATTCCCTGAAACAGAAGAGGAAGCCAAACAAGAGAGACTATAATTTTGTAAGAGAGCGAATCGTGCACGAGTCGGACATGCTCCAGTTAGCAAACGATGAACAGCTTCCGCATTTCGTAACTAAAAAGAAGCAAATATTGAAAGAAAGAGAATAAATGTGGGGATAATAAGTATAATCTGAATTTTACAGAGAATTAATGTTATCATGTATGACTCGGATTAGCCTCAATAAAAGATTGTTGGTTCCATTAGTTCAGCGAAATTACGTCCTCTTTTTAAATGTTGAGATGATTTCTTCACCCTCGTAGTATATCACTGAAGCCAAGGAAGATAATACTTTGCTCCCAGGTCAAAAGGATCACAAGTCACAAGCTTATATATATATATATATATATATATATATATATATATATATATATATATATATATATATATATGGTTACTGTACAGATTAATTTATTTTACCAACGCAGCTCCTAAAGATCACTAGTGTTTTCTATTCCTCATACGGTGGACAGCTAGGTAAATAGGCCGAGTGAATAGTTTGCTGAATAAGTGGCAGATCACAACATTTTGCATGACACGGCTGCCAACAGCCATTTTTTGTCAGAGGACAGGCCAGACCATACTTGTAACTAGCTGTCGTAATAAATGTGTGACGTATCCATCATTTTATTTCCGATTTCTACATACTACTAATGAATCACATATTTTAAGTCACAAACAGGTTTCAGTTAGAAAACCATGCGGAAGTAGGAAGAATTCGACAGTTGTTTCGTCCCAGTAAGGGACTTCAGAAACATCTACAAAAGGAGGAGTCGGGTGTCACATTTTTAACTGGATGATTACCTATCCTGCTACTATGCCTAGTATAGTTCCAGAAACTTTCATAAGCCCAAGTCTGAATAGATAGTTTATGGCTGACAGTGAAGTACAACACACACACATAATTTGTTTTATTTGAGACTGATCAGCTAGATAGACCAACAAAATGGCTATATTGAGACGATCAACATAAGAATGAACATTTAACAAAGAACACTGATTAAAAATCAGTTTTGAATATCAATAATAAAGTAATTGAGACTTTTACGAATAGTGATCTGAAAATTAAGTTTAATTCACATTGTAATTATGTAAAAGTAAATTAAATTTTTAACTTTAACCAACCTTTACTCTAATCCAATTCGATGCAGGCATATTAAAATAATCAACTAATTGATGCAATAAATACAAAGCATCATTAAAACCTTGAAATACTTCTGTAGATCGATCTTTCATCGTTTTGGTTGTTATAGTCTTCATTATTTTATCATCACCATTATTATTATGATTGAGACTTTTTAATTTTATAATTAAAACGTCAATAAACCAACTAGTGGCGACCATAGACCAAGCCTTGGAAAATAAAATGTTTGAGAAATTTATTTAATCAATTTAGTGTAATTATTATTATTATTATTATTATACTTGTGAAAACTTCAAAGTATTAGGCCCTACTTTGTATATGTGTGAGTGAGTGATTAGCGGATATTCTAGTTTTATATAAAACAAATAAGAGACCGAAATAAAAACGATGATTGATATCGTCATTGAATTATAATTGAGGGGGAGAGAGAGAAAGATGTCAAGTTATGGCATTAATGAAACAATTATCTACATCTAATAGTAACAATAAGTAGGTAAAATAGGCAATAATGAAATTTCAACATCAAAGCTTACATATACAATTCAACAATTTTAAGTATGTACAACATATAATAATAACAGTACTACACGTAACCACTTCGAGTAGAAAAAAAAATGTACGTTCACTAGAGTTATATGAAAAACATGCTATTACGTTAATATTACATCAGCGAAGGAATTAGAAAAAGTAGGTTGGATTATGTTCGTATTTTTCTACTATAAACTTGAGATTTTCAATAAATTATAAAAGTCTTAATGAGAAATATATAGTACACCACCATCTCATATATAGTACACAATATGTTTACCATATATGTGAAAATCGGACGTCTTAATCACTAATACATACAAAACAAAAATAATTTTTGCAGTTCAGAAAATAAGATCTTAAGTATCATAATTAATTACAAAACAGTAGTAAGTGGGAGATTGCCTAGAATTTAAGGCATTTGATTTTTAATTATCCAGATTTGAGAAACCAAGCAGATATAACACGTTATCACCACATAACAAATTATTGACTAAAAGCCAAATACATAAATCTGTACTTGTTAAACAAGTTATTAAGATACATAAATAGAGGCTTTATTTAGTCAGTAATAAGAAAATTGGCTAAACCATATCCCGACAGCGAGATGAAATTGTCAAGACAAATCCTAGGGTTTATATTTTTCAGTCGGTAGTGTAAGGAATGCAATCAACCAGTTCATCTTTGTTATATGTGCATCCTCAGAAGATTGCCTTGGTATTAACATTAGTCATTAGTGTTTGAGGTACATATGACAAAAGAGGTTGGTTAATTGTAGTCTTCAACAACGCGAAGATCCAAACTCTTACAGCTGAATTATGGTAGACTCTCGTTGCACGAGCTTATAACTGTCTGGACTCAGTATTTAAACGGATATTGCAATGGTGTCTGAGGCTAAAATAATTAAGTTCCAGTTCCAGAATGAACACTAATTCAGGGATGGAGACATAATCAAGTGACCAGTCCCAAACAGAGTAAGATGCCAATCCTGGATTCTACTGCGAGCCACTATCCGACCTTGTTTAGGATTCCCAGAGTAGAAAAAGTACCGACAGTATCAGTGGTGGTAGGAAAAATTAGGTAGTAACAATCCGACTCGAGAAGAATGGATTTGCAAAACCAAAAGTATAAGTATCTTACGACGAAGAGTGAATGCAACTGGATTATTGAGATCAATCCTGGTCCACATGAACTAGGTAATCTAAGCTTAGCAGTTCAGTCCAACAATCAGCGATATCATAGGTTGATATCACGCCTTAAACTGGTTGTGCTTAGTTTTTTTTCTAACCTACTCTTACACTAGCAATTATAGTGCATCGAGGTAGTAGTGTAAAACACGACGATAAGCAGGAGGTATGTATTTTTATTGCGAGAAGCTACAAATTATTTACGTTATACATATACATAGCCTTCAATGGTCCATTTGTATCTTCCGGTGTGTTCTGCAATCTGAACTGTCTTCTCGACTGGCTTCCAAGTGTTCGATCGACGCCGTGCTGTCGATGCACTGAAACTCTTCACTGTGTCTGACAATTGTTGCAACTTCGACGCTATGCTCCGCCACACACTACTTACAAACAACTTTGTGAGTAGCGTCCACCACATTGGTAACTGAGTGTCCAGAAGTCTACGAAAAATGGATACTAAACGGCAATCAGTTATGTATGGGAGGACGAGGAGCGATTTGTCACAGTTACTGAATGATTACCGATGACCAACAAATGTATCAAGTTTGAGATTCATTTGAAACAAAGAGACCATAATATATAATACTGTTTCCTTTTCAATGATACACCAATAACTCGATAATAGCTAAAATTAATTATATTCATAGTAGAAAGAATTAAAAACGCAATTTGATACGTGTAAGCTGCCAAACCAAAACGTGGCATCAGTGCTTGAAGTCACTAACTTCTAGTCTGAGCCATGTTGGTAGATGCAGACTACATGGTTGGGGTCCACGTGACTTTCGTAACCGATGGTTGGAGACTCTTGGTGACATGGCTCAGAATCGATCACAATGGCGTCGGTGTATACCCTTTCTGTCTCCCGTTAAACTAAGAGATTAAAATCGCTTCATATCTTTCTTTCTACGAACTAATTCTTTCTTCCTGTACTATATCATTATTGCAATCTTTCTTTTATATATTACCACCTCTAAATTAACTACTTTTATGAATCCGGTCTCCATGTTGTTGTGTTAATGAGGTATGGCAACTTCGACCGATGCATATATGTGCCTGGTCCAACGTTGTAGCTGACTGATTGACTGACTGACGTGTTAGCGAATTCTGGCTAAATGGAATAATTGTTAACAGTAGATTATAACACCTAGTCAGTAAATTGTGTATTCGTACTCCTTCTATCGTAAGCTTGATTTGACCTATTGGCTACTGCTATACGATTTACCATTCTCAACTTATTTCCGATTCATCAGTTACAGTATCCCACACTCACAGCCACTTTTGGCTTGATCTTGTTTAATTATTATTTTCTATTTTATGGTGTGATATAGTCTGGTCTACTTGTATATAAACCAAGTATATCTGAAATATACGATCCATACAGCAGAGGCTGATATTTATGTTCTGTACTGAATGGGATAAGCTAGATGAGAGGTTGCTATATAGAGGATCAGTAAGGATTCAGAGTTGACTCAAGGCTGCTCGTACTGGTTAACGCATTATTGGTTTAGCACAAGGATAAGCTCATATTAGTCGGTGTTCTGATAGGCAATTTTGTCAGGTGATAATTGATAAGGCCATAAGTCATAACAAGCTGAGGTAAATTGATCAATGACTAATCGATTTTTTATGATCATTCATATATACAAATGAAAAATCTCAACAACAGAAATACAAATAATAAATTTTACAACAACAATAAGAACATACCAGAAAGTTGAATCGCATATAATCTAACTGAAGATCGGATTCAGAAGGTTGTTTATTAATCGTATTGATATTAGTCAAATTTCGACAAGATTTCCTAAGATTTCTTACTGAAGAACATACACTGTGCAGCATACAAGAAGTTGATTTCCATTCCAAAGAATCAAATCTATGAAATATATAAAAATAAATCAATGATATATTTAACTTGATTTTATCAATTTATAGACATATATAACGTGATAAAGAAAACTATAAAGTGTTTAGGTTTGTCATTATCACTTATGAGCCCTATATTAAGGATAAAAACTGATCAGAAATTCATCATAAAAACAACGAACAGAATATATGAAAAATAAAGCGAATTGTAATATTGATATAATGATTATCATGAACTGATATTCTTTGAAGCACTGTTTACATATCATAGAATCAACAAAACAGTTGTATTTACATTAGAGATAGAGTTTTTATCCATGAGAATAACTTAAAATAGTTGTAAACCTTTAGAAATCTATGTAGTTGAAATATATATGTACACCATACACTTCCACACAATATTAATTCCTTAGAAAATGGATGTGAAAAAATAGTACGGAGTAGTTTGTACACACAACATAACGTCAGTTTTGGTGTAAATCCAATGAATTTTTGGTTTAAGACGTATGTAATAACATATAAAGTTCTTCAAAATGAATTTTAGTTAATGCTGATAATAAATGGTTTTGAAAGTTCATGAAAAGACCAAAATTAAAAAAAAACAATTATTTATTTTTATCTTCAAATTTGTCCCCAAGTCTTTGTTCAGATCTATTACTATCGAAAATCCATTATATAACTTATGCAACTCACTATACAAATGTGGCTTACTGACCTTAATACATTTAATTTCCAACTCAGAGGTTAGTAGTACTAGATTTATGATACTTACAACAGAATCACAGAAAATGAGTATAAAATATTTTGAAAAAAGAAGTGTGAAAACTAGTTGTTTGAGGTTTGCGTGATGATCGCGAACAGTGGTTAGAAATGTTAGGTGATATGACTGAGAATTGGTCTCGATGTTAGAGGTGCATTCACATTTCGACTTCCGCCATATATTGAGTCCCAATATTCATTCATGGATAATGTTTTTATCCTATTTTTTTCACACCATGTTCTTAATACTTAATCTTTCTTGTTATCGTTGTTACAACATAATTTCAATTCTTTGGCTATTTATCTTGTTACTTTCATCTTGTCGAGGTAATGTGACATAGTTAATCGGGTCAACCCATACATATGCACTAGAGTTTATGTTGATTATAACTAATGATTGGCTGACTACCACAAATACATTTTTAAAATATGTGTGATATAAACAATGCTGATAACTTACTTATTAATGATCGATAAAACTTTAACTAGATCACCCAAACAAGGACAGTTGAAAAGTGATTGAGGTGTAACAACATGATATACTTGATTTGACTGATTTCTTGTTACCAACAATTTTGATGAAGATGATGATTGTAAAGGTAATGTCAATTGATCACACCTATATTCCCAAAGAATATTTAACATTTGAGCCCACCAGTGAGCACATGAAACTTGATCACTAGTTTCTTCTATAAAGAGAGAAAAACATATGTGTAGAAAAAATGCTAACAAGAAGTATGTCTTAAAAACTTTCAGTGTACATTTGAACTGTTAGTGAATAAAAAGAGGAAATTAATTAAACCTACAAAGATGGAAAGATTTGCAGCTCAAGTGGGTGATTTCAGTGGATCGTTCTCTAACCATCCAACTCAGAGAAAAAAACAACTAAATATTTGGCTGGTTCATATCAACACCAATGCTTTTGTATAAGAGGTTAATACAACAGTAAAAACTAATCAATTTTTTAATGTTTGTATTTCATATTTACTCATGCTAAACTGCTTTTGTGGATTAATGCAGTAATTTGAGAATGGTTTTCACTATGAAAACTATCAAGGGCCAATCGAATGTTGTTTTAGCCTGGATCAAGATTATTTTAAAAAATTTAGTAGTAACAATGAACCTTATAGTGATTACTTTAAAGAATTTTACAAGGTTTCAGTAAAAAGCAGCATCATGAGATGTGAACTATACTGAAGGAAAGAAACATGTAAATGAAGTTGGATGAAAATATCAAAATATCACAAATTGACTGAATTTGAAAACATGCTGGGTCCCGGACTTGGTAGTTTTAGGAAGTGTTATAGCCACAAACACATGAGTTCTCTGTTTACATACATTTGGTGTTGTGAAGTAGACTAATTATTAAAATTTCTCTTCTAACTCGCATAACTCCGCCTGTACATCTTCTAAGGCTACTACCGGTACGGGAGAGATGCTGCTGTACTCCGGCCACGAAGAGAAAAATGTGCTACACACTCAGGGAGCTGCTCTGATGCTGCCCAAACAAGCACGAAATGCACTTATAGGATGGGAACCCCATGGATCCAGGATTATCAAAGCATCATTCAAAGCAAAGAAGGAGAGAATCATGATGAATGTTATCCAATATTATGCACCCACCAATGATGACAATAAAGATCAGTTCTATGAGAGGATGCAATCAATCATAGCGAAATGCCCAGGAAAAGACCTGACCATCCTGATGGGAGACCTAAACGCCAAAGTCGGAATGAACAACACTGGATATGAAGATATCATGGACGACATGGAAAGACTGGGAGAGAGAGAAACGAAAATGGTGCGAGATTTTCAAACCTATGTGCATTCAACAAGTTGGTAGGCGGCACAATATTTCCACACGAACGCATACAGAAAGCTACATGGATCTCACTGGATGACACCACGGAGAACCAGATAGATCATATTTGCATCAGTAAAAAATTCCGAAGGTCAATGGGAGACGTGAGAACGAGGAGAGGAGCTGACATAGCTTCAGATCACCACCTAGTTGTAGCCAAGATGGAACCGAAGCTACGAAAACACTGGACAAACAGCAATAAAAAGGCTCAATACAACCTTCCCACGAGATACTAACAAACGCAACGAATTCAAGATAACTCTCAGAACCAGACACTGAATAACAGAACAAATTGTTTTTGATTCAGAGTATTATCTTGTGAACATTGGAAGTACATGTTAGCTGTTAGTGCTTCTATTTAGTTGACGTCAGTTCATGATGAGAACTGCCTATGAGTTTGTTCAATCTGCTTATGTATCCATGTGCAGCATGGTTAACACTCGCTTAGTTTTTATCATTACCAAACCAGTCCACATCAGCTAATATATTAACAAATCTCCAAGTCATAAATGTGATTCATTTATTACATCTTATTATTATTCTTATAATTAATTCTGTATTCATATTTAGCTTACAAACTATTAAATCTAAGTTAAATTTTATCTTACAATGTGACATTATGTAGAATTCCGTTGTTGAAACTCAGAATTGACTTTTATAATACTCTACAAGCATATGTACTTCTAACAAGTCTCATAAAGGATGAAATACGCGTTTTGAAATCATCTGTTAGTCATGATATAAAACGCGGTTACTAAGTCATTGTAGCATCCCTCAAGAATAAAGGCGGAAACGTGGTTTCCGAGTTAAGGCTTTTGACCTGTAATCCCAAATAATCAGATTCGAGCCCCGCTCCACTCACTTCACTTTGCAAAATCAGGTAATATCATTGGCTCTTACGCTTAAAATGTGACCCGAAAGTAATACCACAAATCTGTATTTCATAACGAGCTAATAATAGTATATCATAAAATACTACTAATAATAACTAGTGGCAAGATAAATAAAAATAGTGTGATTCTAACGTTTATAGTTGATCACAACCATTTTGTTTCTTTGTTGGCTAGAATAACAAACTATTAAATGGAAGATGTATCATAATAAAGAATGTACAAATTACTGAATATAATAACTGTGATAATGATATATAAAAATAATAATAATAATAATAAGATACAACAATAATCAAAATAATATGAAAGATCATAGTGTTATAAGAAGTGAGCAGATAATAAAATGTAAACGTTGCATATATAAATATGCGAATGAACTAACCATATTCAATTTCACTAGTTCTGTAGTTATTCATATTACTATTGTATACATTTAATGAGGGTGATAATTGCGACAGTAGATGAATATATGACTGTAAACTTTTCACTTGATCAACTTTACCATACAATATAACCTACAAGTAGAAAATAAACGATGAGAACATAAACTATAGAGCTAACAACTTTAAGTATTTCTTATTGTGTGATGATACCTAAGCCATCCAACCAGAACTTAAGTAAGTTCTCAATCAACGTTTTATACTTTCCCTGTACTTATTCTTGGTAGTGAGCAGACAGAAGTAATCGAGAAATTTGAGTATCTGGGTAGCTATTTAAGTGCTGGTGGTAGCGTGAACGATAAGATAGATTCACGAATAGTGAAAGCCAGAGCGACTTATGCTATTCCGGGCCATCTCTGGCGCCTTTCATGATGTTAGTCTGGCTGTAAAAGGTCAGATCTACAACGCACCGGTGGCAGAAGTCTTGCACTGTGATTGAGAAACCTGACCTCTTTGAGTCGGTGATGTCAAGCAACTCAGTCTCCGAAGGACTGAAAACATTCAATGCCAATGTGGTGGGCGCTACCCAAAAGATTGCCTGTAAGTAGTATGTTGCGGAACGTGGCCTCGAAGTTGTCACAGTAGTCAGACGGAGTGAAGAGTTTCAGTACATCGGGAGCACGGCGTAACACTTAGATCTAAATCATCCAGCATCTTCAAACATTGGTAGTTTGCACCTCTAAAAAAGTTCATTCCAACAATCATTGCTTTTGCTCGACTACCTTTTGGCTTTCTTCCAAACTTCTCCTTCTCCAGTACATACAAAGCGTCGAGGTGAGTAGTTATCGGACATTAGTGATATATCACGCAACCAACTTATTCGATGAGGATACAATAACTTAGTGAAGTCAGTGTGTAAAACAAACTAATAGTTAAATCTCTACTAATCTGTTATCATAAACTAATCAATTATAACATCAGATTATCATTAAATTTCAAACACAAGTCAAATTCCACCATCTAAAAGTGTGTATATGATAATATAGAGTTCAGTGTGAATTTCTGGAACGCACCAATTGTTTTATGAAGACACGAATTCGAAAGCGAGAAAACCAAAGTTTAGAGATAATCGATGTTGACGAAGACAGATTCATATTTGTTATTACAGTTAGAATTCATTTAGATGAACTGATTGTTGTGAAATAACAAGATAGAAAACTCTTTCATTTTGAATGTTTACTTAATTTGAGATTAAAAATTGTAGTAAATCTTAAATATGTGAGAGAGATATAAAGACAAAGTCACGACGTAATGTCTTATGTTTGATATTGTTTGAGTAATTAAACATTAGGAGTCAGAATATACAATGTGGATGAACAGGTTGTACAAGTGTTTAAAAATAGTGGAGAGTATGTGGTTAATCTACCAAATACTTGACAGACGAGAGTTACCAAATCCAGATGGGGGGGGTCCAAGTGAGTCAGTTAACCGCAACGTTATGTGAAGCCAAAAATCAATTAATTAAGTGCTTAAATTTTAGTCAGTCTAACTCAGGGTTGAAGATTCAGTCATTCGCAACGTAGAACGTGGTACGTATGTTCATCGTTTGTCATATCTCATTGGACGGGGGAATGAAACTGTCAGGTCAAATACCAGAATGCAGAGGCAGTAACAGTTTATCCTTAGCGATTACATGCACAGTGACAAACAATCCACAAGTACATACAGTATGAGTGATATCAAACGTTTATCCAGCAGAAGCTAATGGTACTTTCTGATGTGCTATTGCATTTATAACCAGAGCAGTATATTAGTATTTAAAGCACTCGACTTTTAATTAACACGTTGTATGTTTAAAATCTCCTACACTTGTTAGATGATAAATGACAATAGTGTTTAAAACACTGACCTGAAACTCTAAAAAACTTAAAACGTACAGCTTTATGAGTAGATAAGATACATTCTTAAAAGGAATTCCTCCACTTAAGCCTTTATGATATACAGTGACAATTTGAATATAACAGTTCAGTGTTTAAGTATGAGATATTGATTTGATTTCAATAACTATGTTATAGCATACGACACTAAGTGATCTAGATTTAGGTTTTGTGAAAAAGAATTCTTTTTTAAAGTCAAAGATATATTAATGGTGATGAAGGATAGTAACTAAAAGAAGAACTGGACAACGATATAACCTGGTGAATTCTTTCCGATCTTTCAAGCGAATGAACGTTAGGTGGTAACAACATAAATGAACTGGATAATAATAATAATAATAATAATAATAATAATAATAATAATAAATACCTTTAAACAATGACAAGTAATATGCTCGCGTAATTCAATCAATATTTGATTAATAATGTTCTTTTCTGTATAATTCACTAGTGACAGATTTTTGTTGGATGAATGGTCATGTAAACCAACTGCCTTTGTAGAAGATCTGGTCAATGATGATGATGAATAAGTTGTATTGATACCTATAGCGCACGAATTCAACTTTTGATTTGAAACAATTAATTCGATAAATGTTGAATTGTTAAACCAATTTATCCATAAATTCGACAAACGAAATCGGAGAGTCACATGAACTGTCATACGAATGATCAGAGACTATTTAGTGCACGATTAAGAAGATAGTGGCGCCATATTTAAAACAAGAAAGTAGGGATGAGAGATTAAATACATCATGTTAACTAATTGAAAAAATTTTCTAAAAAATATTAGGTCAATATCACGTGTGAAGTTATAAATGTATCATTCACATTCTTTGTGTAACCATCGTTTTCTTAAAGGCTCCAGGAGATGTGCTAACCATTTTGCTCTAGAGTGGTAATATGTCACCGAGACAAAAAAGACTGAAATGATTAGAATAAAATAACTGATTGAATTCCTCACACGAATGAAGAAGAGCCATGGAATACAATACCAGGAAAACATGAATTGCCTGAAGTACGCAAAGCAAGATTACTTCTTTGCCCAAATTTAGACGTGTCTAGATCCTCTTATTACTCCAATAGCAACATAGCCAGCAGATCTTCTGAAGCCAGTGAGAAAATTATAAACAAATAAGTAGTTCATTTAGCAAATTAATGTGGATATTTACTAGATAAACTGTAGTACACAGTTAACTAAAATTTATTACACACTATGGACTCATATAAAACGTCATAGATTTAGTGGACAAAATTGATGGAGAAAGGAAGCGAAACTAGCCCATTCATCTGGATACAAACAGAATATGAGACATTAGTACTGACAAACGATAAGGAAATTTTTAAAATAATATTATACCATCTGAAAGCGCTATTCAGATTTTAGTTAAAAGTTTTAGTTCTCATTAGCCAATGACTGAAATGTAAGTTTTGTATACTGACACTAGAATCTGTTATGTCTTGTCAATTGAACGCTACTTGTTATATCTGATTATCACGTATACTCGAAACGAGGGACCACTGCAATTCCCACGACGCGAAAGTAAGAATACAAAGACTGGTATAAGTGAAGATTTATTAACCACCAAAACACGACGACATATCTTTTTACAGCAGGATTCTTTATGTCCTTTACATTGACATTTAGTACAACGGTAGCTTTTATATGGACAAAACTTCTTGTAGTGCCACTAACTTCATAACCAGCACGAGAATGGAAACTGACTGTTTGAACTGTTTTGTTTGTGTAAAAGAGAATCTTTCTGGCCATTTATTACCCATACGTATGGTGGCCAGACACTGTTTCCAACCATAGAAGTGTCACGTTTTAAGTTTACCAACCTCTGACACTCACTAGTCACTTCTTGTAGCATTATATATGGATACTGTCCAATTTTACTCAGAATTCTGGTTCTGGTGTTAGCATCTTCAGGTGACTGCAAGCTGCATACAAAAGTAATACACTTAAACTGGTCTTGTCATTGCTGATAATTTGAAACGCTCATACTCGCGATTTACTGTGCCAGCATGTTGCATCCAGTCATCGTCTTCAGCTTTAGCCAACTTCAGATATTGGCAACGAATATTGAACAAAGATGACTGTTCACCAAAAATTTGCGAAAAAGTTACAACCGTTGCATCAGATGAAAGGTCTCTGGGATCCTTGGGGAGAATGAAGTTGGTGTAGTGTTCATGTTCAGTTGTGCCAAGTTTGCGTAGCAATACTCTGACCTTTGCGATATCAAATTTTTCTAGGTTGACGTTGAATATATCTTCGCATTTCTTGAACCACGATTCAAATGTAACACCAGCCAAACCATAAAAATGAAATTCATAGATAGAATTAATAAAGTGGTCGACATGGAATTTGAACGGATCATCTGTAAGCCCCTTTTGATTTAGGTTCACTTGCTGAGTTAGAGCTTCCAAAATACGAATCTGGAACTGTTCGTAACCTTTTTCTTAACGCTCCACCAAGGCCTCAAATTGGTCAAAGGTAAAGGATATCTTGATAAGTTAACCTCGTCGCCAGTTGTTATATCTAGAGCTTAGTTTCTTATTATACCGCGTACAACTAGAGCACTCGAACGCTAGAGCCCTTCAAGTTGCAAATGAGAAGACAAGTGAAAGAAATGCTATTCCAGTGTCATTTATGGTCAGTCAGTCAGTAGCAATGTAGAACTTCGTACGTACGTACATCAGTTCGAGTTGCCATACCACATTAGCACACAAATACGATTGTCGATCCAAACCCCATAGTGGTAGACGTAGTAAGAGTATAAGCAGTAATCGGAAAGATTAGGGTTCGAAGATGTTATTCAAGGAGTATAATACAGTGAAATAAATTTGGAAAGAGAAAAAAGGGACATGGAGGATTTAGAAGATTAGAGTTTTACCACCAGTTATCTGTTCTTCTCCAGAAAGTGCGTTCGACAGATATTGTAGTACTAGCCGGAGACTTGAATGCTCAGGTCGGGCGTCTAGGCACAGAAGAGAGTCGTTTAGGTGGCCGATGGGGACTCGTTGGTCGCAGGTCAGATAACGGGGACCGTCTACTGCAACTGTGCACAGACCACAACCTGTTTCTGGCTAGCACTAACTTTCGGCACAGTCATCGCCGATGTGCCACCTGGCGTCCTCCCTCTGCATCTCAAGCCTGGACTCAGATTGATCACATCGCGATCAGCTACCGCCGCTCCTTTTGGAGTACCTATCTGGACTCTGACCATGCCTTGGTCTGCGCCAATCTTGCCTTACTTTTCAGTGGACAACGAAGTGACCGCCATCAACGGATTGATGTTAGCAAGCTGGTTGCAACTTCTGTTGCAAGTAAGTATCGAACCGAGCTAGCCTCTAGGCTAGCTACCACTCCACCGAAAAGTATAGATGAGCATTGGTTGCAATTGCATGACGCCATGAAAATGGCGGGAACAGTCAGTTGTGGGTTTGCGAAACGTCCCGCTTTAAGCACTGGGTTTCTTCTGGTTCCTTACAACTCATTGAAGCCCGTCGGTCTACTCCGGGTGACCGTGAGTTTGACCATAAACGAAGGATGTTACGTAAGGAAATTGGGCAAAGCTTGCGTAAGGACCGAGAAGCCTGGTGGTCGATGCGTGCTAATGAGCTGGAAGCAGCAGCTGCATCTGGTAACTACCGGAAGCTCTTCCAGCTCATCCGAGCCACTGGCAGCAAGAAGTCTGGTGTGAGTGAAACAATCTGCGAGGATGATGGGATGCCAATCACTAACATCCATCGACGTCTTGGACGATGGGCAGAATTTTTCGAAGGGCAGTTCAACTGGCCTGCTGCTCCGGCAACATCGGTCAGACTGTCCTGCCCTCCATGGCCGGTGACGACTGATCCACCAAACGAGGAGGAAGTCCGCAAGGAACTCCAACTCTTGAAGCGTTACAAATCACCTGGCCCAGATGACTTACCTCCGGCTCTTTTTAAAGATGGTGGTGACTTTTTGACTAAGGAATTGACGACGTTGTTTACAAAGGTTTGGGAACTAGAGAGTGTACCAACGTCATGGAATGAGTCGATAGTTGTCCCTATCTTTAAAAAGGGTTCACGTCGTTCCTGTAACAACTATCGGGGGATAAGTCTACTTCCGATTGCGTCCAAGCTATTGGCTTCCGTCATTCTTCGTAGGTTGTTCAAAACCCGAGAAAGATTGACTCGCGAGGAGCAGGCTGGGTTTCGTTCTGGTCGAGGATGTATTGATCATATCTTCACCCTCCGCCAAATGTTAGAACACCGCCATACTTATCAAAGGCCAACAATCGTAGTGTTTCTTGACATCAGGGCTGCCTTCGATTCGTTGGACAGGACTGTTCTCTGGGATTGTCTATTGAAGAAGGGTGTGCCTGAGAAGTTTATTAACATCCTAAAAGCCCTATATAAAAACACCTCAGGCAGAGTGAGGGCATACAACCACCTCTCTCCATTGTTCCATTCGAGCAGTGGGGTTAGGCAGGGTTGCCCAATCTCACCATTCCTCTTCAACTTTGCCATCGATGACATTCTGGAAACAGCTCTGATGAATGTAAGTAATGGTGGTGTGGATCTGTTGCCTGGAGAAAGACTTCTCGACCTTGAGTATGCGGACGATATTGTCTTACTGTGCGATAATGCCCAAGGCATGCAATCCGCACTTAATCAGTTGGCAATCAGTGTCCGTAGGTATGGTATGTGCTTTGCACCTTCGAAGTGCAAAGTACTTCTACAAGACTGGCAGGATTCTAATCCTGTACTCACCCTGGATGGTGAGCAGATAGACGTAGTCGAGAAGTTCGTGTATCTGGGTAGCTGCATAAGTGCTGGTGGGGGTGTGAGTGATGAGATCAATGCACGAATAGTGAAAGCCAGAGCGGCTTATGCCAATCTGGGCCACCTTTGGCGCCTTCGTGATGTTAGTCTGGCTGTAAAAGGTCGGATCTACAACGCGTCGGTGAGAGCAGTTTTGCTCTATGCTTGTGAAACCTGGCCTCTCCGAGTTGAGGACGTTAGACGACTCTCTGTGTTCGATCATCGCTGTCTCCGAAGGATTGCTGACATTCAGTGGCAACACCATGTCAGTAATGCAGAGGTTCGGCATCGTGTGTTCGGGCACAGAGATGATAATCAATTGGTGTCACCATCTTGAAACACCGACTTCGGTGGCTTGGACATGTTCTCCGAATGTCGTCCCAGAGAATTCCACGTCGTGCATTATTTGCCGACTCTGGGACTGGTTGGAAGAAGCGGAGAGGTGGTCAGTGCATGACATGGTGTCGTGGCATGAAAGAAAGCTGCAAAGGACTGGCTTGTGTTGGTCCTTCACGACTCCCTGGTTGGGGTCTGAGAGATGGTGCTACACAGTGGCTAGAGACGTTATCAGATATGGCTCAGAATAGAAGCCAGTGGCGATCCTGCTGTAACCTTCTTTTACTTTCTTCATAAAAAGTGGTTGTGTCTCCCTTACCTGAAAGATTTCTTCTGATTGTACCTTTTCGTTCCCTCGTTACTACCACACTACCTTACACCAATCTCTTCGTTATTGTTCTCTTTTTCTTTTGCGCTCCTTAGTTTTTTTCTTTCTATTTCTCTTCGAATTCTCATTGTTTTGTGTGGCGCATATATATTGGCGCTCTCTTGTACCAATATTCATGTGTTCAAATAAATAAATAGAAGATTAGAATTTGAGAGAACACAAAGGGTGGATTCACCTGCGCTATTGCAAACGATTTTGAGCCATGTCATTCAAGTTCTTTAACCATCGGTTGCTATCATCTCGCGATTCCAACCAGGTAGTTTACACTTACTAACATGGCTCAGTCCACTTGTCAGTGACTTCATGGATTTGTACCATGTTTTGTCTGGCTGCCCCTAGCTTTCTTCCAACCTATGGTATGGTATGGTATGGTACAAAACTGTCAGGTATAGTTTTTAATAAAAACGAAATCACCATTATAGTTCTCCAATCCGCATAATGGGGGTTGTTAACGTTTGTTTAATAGGGAAACTACACGTAGGAATTCTGGAATATTCTTCCAAAAGATGATTGGACGGAATATTTAAGGCTCTTTCAGAGCTTGCTCGAGTTCACCCGTGAACCGTCCTCACGGAATCAAATTAAGAAAACTTATAGAACGAATATAGATTAGAGCAGATATAACTAAAATGACTAAATAGAAAATATATTTAAAAAATAATAAGCAAAATAATATATTTGTAATATCCCAATGAGTAGAAAATTAGATTTTCTGACGTTTCGTGACTTAGTGTAAGTCACTTCTTCAGAGTAAATAAATAACCAAATTAAAATTAATCTAGGTTTAAATAGTACAACGGAACAATGCAAGAATAATATATTATAATATTATATATATATAATATTATTTTATTTTTATTTATAACAATCAACCCAATGCTCAATTTATTCGAAATTATCAAATCAAACCTTGGCAATGATACCTATAATAATAAGCAAGTTAGAGATAAGAAAGTCGACAGAGAAAAGAAGGGTGATATATAAAGTAATCATTGGTTTTATAAATCATCTTGCCTCCTTTCAATTAATTCCTAATGCAAACCGACTTACTCCAGTTTTCATGTCATTACATTCTCATATCATCACGTTCGAGAATGCTTATATTACGATACTATCAACTAGCCTGATCATTCAAAGTTAACATTCACCACTCCAGTGAATAATATGTAAGAATTCACTATCGTCTAATAACTGTATGTGGTAAATCTAACAGGAGAAAAAAAACTGATTACATATTAAACGATCAAAAAATCAATAAAATGTAATATTTCATTTACACCAAGATAATACATTCCAAGTTTTCGTTTTAGAAAGAGTCCAAGTGTTACACCTTGTCTAGGTAAAAGATTGATAGGCAATTTGTTATCAACAGCTGATGATATTCCTATATTTTGATTAATTTCATGTAACTTGTCGTTGGTACAATATATTTGTTGAGTAGATATAGAATGAAGAAAATCGTGAATACACATCACAGCTAGAGAGATACTATCCAGTAAACGGTTGAACTTAAAAAGCATAGAATTGTTTGTATTTGCTTTTTTCGGCACATAGTCTATGATAGAAAGAAACAAGAAAATACAAAATAAGAACAAAAAAAACTTTTATTAATACGAATTATATTATTATTATTCTCGTTTTTCTCTTTGTCCTTGACAAAAACTAAACAGTATCAGACAATGTAATTTAAAGAATGGAAAAAGAAACTTACGACTTTATTTAACCAACTGTATATGTAATTAATTAAACAAAATTAAGTCCTACGGAACCATTAATTATCAAAATATTAGCCGATTATTAAAAATATTATAATAGAAAAGAAACATTTGTGTAAAGAGACTAAAAAGAAAGAATATGGATGAAAAAAACGTTAAGATATAAAAGTGACTCTTTGATGTCTTTTATTTCTATGAATTTTCACTCATATCTTTAACTTTGTACGACTACCTATACAACTTAGTAATTTGTCAGGATAAACAAACAGCTAATTAGTGAAGGCGTTTGAACTTTTTTGAGCATGAACTCCATAATAATGAGTGACTTATCTTTGAACTACGCACTACTAGTATAAAAGGTGGTTTTATGAAGAAATGAAAAAGAAACACCATACTTACACATAACAAGATGATAAACGTAATATCACAAAAACTGGTTACGTTTACTTTGTCCATCTAAAGGTTTTTTCAGCATTAGAAAATCAGTTAGGATTAGACGAAAAGAGATCAATATACTACTTTGAACAAAAATTTGTCAGTAAAATTTTAACTTTGCAATGCTACATATTTCGATAAACTTGTGGAACTCCATCTAGAAACATTCGCTTTACTGTAAGATGGGCTTTAAAGGTAGAGGACATTTGCAATTAATTAGTATTTGATCGTACATATCTTCAAAGTATTGCTGGCATATATTGGGACCGCCAAGGAAGCAGTGTTGAGGATAGATGCAGAGTACTAGGCAAAGATGGTAAATCGGTTAATAAAGTAGTGAATCTATATTGACTGATGTGATTAGAACATGTTTTATGTACGCGCAACAACCGCCTACCACGATATACATTTCTCACTGACGTAATAGTCAGTTGAGAGAAAGCTGGAGGTAACTGAACCAAAAGATAACACCAATTCATAAAGTCATTGTATATCAGTCTGAGATGTGTAGGTACGTGTAAATAACCTGGCTGAGATCCGAGCAATTATCGTAACAAATAGTTAGAAATCATGTGATACTACTCAAAGTTAGTGTCTGGCTTTAGATGCCAATTACCAAAATTATTTTTTTATACCTTTAATTCTAAGAATTAATTTATTCTTCTTGAATCATATCCTCCGTATCTAATATATTTCTGTATTATCACTGATACTACCACTTCTATGGTCTCTGTATTAATTTAGCTGTGCTGATGAGATATGGTAACTTGGACCGACACACACACGTGACAGATTCTGTGTCACTTTTAATTGACTTATTAGCTCATTAAAGACAGTTAACATTAATTCAACGCTGAACTAGTTTGGGAATAATTTATATATATATGCCCCATTATTAGAAGGCAAAGCTAATCTTCCAGTAGATGAACTCGGAAGTACTCAATGATTAGAAAGAATGATACAAACCAACACAAGACGTAATTCATACAATTACATTTGATATTTTTCCTGTTAGAAGTTAAGATACAAAGTTGTTAAAAAAATCCAATAATGCAAAGAGTTCAATGTTTCTGAAAAACAGGTAAATTTGCGTTATAACTATGGACTGTATTTCACTAATTCTCAACACGCTAATTAAAGATGAAACCAATAAACCCTAGCAATTCAGAAAGAAAATCAATCGTAAAAAATCAACTAACTAACCAAATAAATATAATTCCATTAAGCGTAGACGAACTTCAGCTGCAGAGATGATACTCTTTTCATTAGAGTATGAATGACCACTGTTTATTATCGGATTAGGTTGATCCACCTTCTTTTTAAAAGAACACATCCAAAGCCAACAAGGCAATTCGATTAAAATTATACTAAGCAAGTTAATGCCGAGTTTAATTAGAAACCATATACATAAATAAATATATCGAGGAAAAGAAACCGTTGATCCAGATTGAGTCAATTCGCAATGTGTACTGCCAAGTGAATGTAAGCATTGCCTCAAGTGGTAATCAGCAACAGACCAAGTCAGCTATAATTAATGAGGATAAAAATAGGTTAATAAGGATGATAATAATAATAATAATATGCTACATACTTTTTAAATCGTTAACCATCAACAAATCTAAACTGAGTTTGAAGTTAATGGACATAAACGAAAATGAATTATTGTACATAAAGTAGGTGAGGATAAAAGGGAGTCGTCAGGTTATCTTGTTTTTTAGTCAACATCTGTTAGTTTTTTAGAGTGGCGAAAACCGTGATAACTGTTTATTGGTTCATTTAATTATTTAATTTCTTTACTAATATTACTAATATTGCTAATATTACTGTGTCCCAAGGTTATATTTTGTTACATATAGTTTTTTCTCCTTCAAATTTAAAGCTTTCATTATCTTCTGACTTTTGCCTTCCTTTTATCGTGTTTAAGATTAATTTTGAAGTGTTGGGCGTTAGTCACACGATCTATCGACTTTATGCAAATTTAGTTTGGCATTGAAAGGATGCTCTAATCGTTTTTAAAAAGGAATTACCCCAGACCAACTGTAGAAACTTGGTAAGGGCACCTTGACACAAGTCGCAGTGACCGAGCGGTCTAAGGAGAGTTCTTCTGGGTGTTATGGTCCACTACGTGGGCGTGGGTTCGAATCCCACCCCTGATACATACTTAAGCCCCTAAATGCCCTGGTACGACCGAGGGTGAAGATAGTCAGCTCTCCCTCTCGAAATGCTTCCACATGGCCACGCGTATGCAGCCACTGTCAGGGGAGTCCTATTCACTGCCTTACGCGGCATCGCTGTTATTTACGAAGTTGAAAGGATGAAAAGCGAATGTCCGGCGCTTTAACCGAGTTGGGAGACAAGGAGATTCCACCTAGGGGAGTTGGGAAACTCTGATTACAAACTAATGGTGCACATGGGCTCCAAGATCCTGAACGAACAAATGTTGTTCGAACTAATCGTTGGTTAGTGGCTACCATGGGACTGAATCTCCTGATGTTGCTCCACTGCTTTATGGATCAGACCTTCAAGACCAAGGCTCCGGGTGTGGCCCCCTAAGAAAACTATCTGTTTTGGTCTGGGCATCCGGACAGTATCACAGCTCACACAAAAATCAAGTGACTTGTGTGTTTGGTGCCCATTTTTACTAATATTTATATGTTCAAATAAATAATAAATAAATAAATTTTAAGGCCAATAAATTTTGAGAGCAGTTTATGGATTTGTAACAAATAAAAAGAGGAATTTGAAAATCCTGAAGCGCTTAACAAAGAAATTAGCGCTTTTGATCACTTAACTATTTTTCTGGATTAATGATATCCGTTTTAGCCAGCAGATGAGTGGCTAGAATGTTCGGTTTTCAAAGAGTAAGTCACATCTTTCGACCACATTTAATCAATTTCAGTTTAGGTTACCTCTCACACATAAATGGGAAAAGAGCATTACGAAGGTTCAATACAACCTTCCTTCGATATACTGACAAACTCAAGGAATGCAAGAGAACTCTGAACAGGCTCCGAAACTTACAGGATCTATGAGAGAAGAAACCACTATGGAGGACAACTGGAAAGGGATCAAAGAAGCAATAACTTCAACGTGTCAGATGTTGGGCCGCAAGTAGCATCATCATAAAGAATGGGTTTTAACAGAAACCCTAGACAAGATTCAAGAAAGGAAGAAGACAGCAATTAACAACAGCCGAACAAGGGCAAAATCAAGGCACAAGCTAAACACACAGAAGCAAACAAGTGAAGAACATTAGAGTTGACAAGTAGGAATACGTGGAAGATAAACGACACCAACCCAATCACAATTGATGGAGAAACTCTGGAAGAGGTGGAAAGTTTCATGTATCTGAGTAGCATCACCGATGAACGTAGAGGGTCTGAATAGGACGTAGAGGCGAGGAATGACAAAGCAAGGACAGCATTCCTACAGTCGAACAACATATGGAACTCAAAACAACTGTCAGTCAAAATAAAAGTCAGAATCTTCAATAAGAATGTCAAGACAGTCCTACTGTCCGGAGCTGAAACGTGGAGAACTACTACGACTATCATCATGAAAGTACAAGTATTCTTAAACAATTGTCTACACAAGACACTCAATGTACATTGACTGGGTACCATAAGCAATAACCTGCTATGGGAGGGAACAAACCAGCTTTCAATTGAAGACGAAATTAGGAAAAGACGTTGGAATTGGATAGGATATACATTGAGGAAATAATCAAATTCCATCACGAGACATGCGCTAAACTGGAATCCTGGAGGGAAACGAAAAAGAGGAAGACCAAAGAACACACTACGTCGAGAATTGGAGGCAGACATGAAAAAGATGAATAGCAACTGGAAAGAACTGTCCAGGATAGTGTTGAATGGAGAATGCTGGTGAGCGGCCTATGCTCCTCCATGAGGGGCAACAGGAGTAAGTACATAAACCAGTATTTAGTAAATGGGATGCAACGACACTGAGCAACAGGAATAATCTTTAGAAATACTCAAAAGTTGAATACTATTATTGTCGACGACGGTAGAAATAGGTTTTAAAACAGAACATTTCCAGATACACTATCAGTTTGATACTCTGACCAGTAGATCTAAGATACAGTATGCATGAATATTCACTTACAAAACTAGTTTTATGTGTCTTAAGAAAGCTATTTATTGGTGGATTTTTCATAATACATCTTAAAAATAAGTTTAAACACCACGCAACTTTGAGACAGAAAAAAACAACTTCAGTTTTCAGTTATACAAAAGCAATCCATAAGTAAAGTTTACTTATGACTGAGTAGTAAGACTAGCAGAATATAAAAATACGGTTGGGATATATGAGAATTATTCGACGCAGCATCAGCCCATGAAGTCATTGATTATGAATCTTAGCCATGTTAGCAGTAGGCGCACACTACTTCACAGAAATCCTCTCGACAACGATGATCAGTATTTGGAGATGTTGGATGGTATTGACTGAAAATCGGTCGTAATTGTGCAAATGCATTTACTTAATAACTTCAAGATAATGAATTCCAGTATTCTTTCATACATAACAGACAAACTCATCGTTTTGAACCATATTCTAAACGTTTAGGCTTCCTCATTATTTTGATTCTTTTCTATCTATCTTGCTAACTTCATCTGTTTGTGCTGATGTGGTTTGGGAACTTGAATTAATCCACATATGTGCTAAGCTCCATGTAGATTACGACTAACAGAGTCAAAGGATAGCTAATTCTGCAGAAATGATGAACAGAAATTGAAGTTTGAGGTGTAGACTGTTGGATTTTAACTCAGTAGTCTAAAGTTAACGTACTTATTGTAAAACATGAAAAAACTGATTTTGATCAGTGATGAGTCCCAAAACCAAAATGAAACAGCTATCAAATGTTCGTTTATTTGCAATGGTCTAACAAGAAACCCCATTGTAAAATCCATTTCCCATGTTATGTGATAAACATTTCACTTGATGAATGAACAGATAAGACTCAATGTAATAGATAAAAGATGATAGTACAACATCCGCCACACATATACAGAAATAAAAAGTATAATTCCCAAACACTAAACCTTAGTATTCGGTCTGTCTGTTATGGGAAATAACTGAAGTTAAAAATCCAGAAATCATTGAATCTCAACTCAGTGATTTGAAGGTTAAGTGACCATTCTAAGACCTGTACGTCCCAGGTTTGATCCTCGGTAGGGTTTTGGATGGGTAATACTGAGGACTTCCATACTAGTCAGTTCATGACATAAACCATAAAAACTTCATTGTATAAAGTTGTGCTTGAGTAGGGTTGGTATACTGAACTGAATTATTTTCATTATATTATACGTCAAACGACATAAATTCAACAAAATGAAACAAGATACAGATAAATTTACTCTCAAATAAATAAAAACATTAATTCTCATGATAACTACTAGGTTATGTCAATTAATCCATGTGTATGTAACCAATGTGCTCAAATAGATAATTGAATCAATATGAAAAGTATTTTACCTGACTAATAGCTAAATTAGCTTGTCTAAAATGTGATTTAGCCTCATACGATGAGATTACAGTATTTCTTGACTTTGACCAATAATAACTATAATTAAAAAGATGGACATGTATGTGCTTTTTATAACAAGCCCATGAACATAATAATAAAGCAATACACCACTGTAAAATATACATTATTGATATAAGCCATGAACTAGGGATAATTGTTGCGATTATGTTCCCGCTTTTGGAAGTTGTGCTGGTAGACGCATCGAAATACGAGAGCAAAGTTCTAGCATTTGATATTTTATTGTCTAGGAAGAAAATAACAATGAAATAACAATAAATATATATATAGTAATACTTCAATTGTTTAACAATAGACGAATGAATTAAAAGTGTAAATATTTTCAAAAGTTGTGTCTGATGAATCTTCCTAATGTGCATTGATTAGACGATTGGTTTACCGATATCTAACTTTTTAGTGTTTGAATTCTAATTATCTGACTGACCAAATGTTGTACATATCGTTTGTCATTTATTACCTGTAACAAATTGATCATAAACCAGTTAATTAAATTCGTACCATAAATATATTTATATTTATACAAATTTATTATTTATAGTGTACTATGGTCATGTATACTAAGTACAACCACGTGAGCTTTGATATTTAAATATTATAAAATAATCAAAGGCGTTCGGCTATTCTTCTAATTTATAGCTTGGGTACGAGTGATAGAGCTCACTTGGCTTCTGCCAACTTTAGTCACTTGTAGCGTAGGCAGGTCTATCTGCCAAACAAAAGGCGAGTGAACGGATTAGTACTTTGCTCCATGTTATTTTATGGTTATGAAGAAAAGGTCTTTAAAAATAGGGGATATTCTTAAGCTACTAGTATTTAATTTAATAAATATCTTGGAAGCACTACTTGCAATAAGTGAGCACAACGTTGAAGTTAGATGCAACTTACTCAACAAAAATAAAAAATCTGAAATGATATGAGGTTTTTGGTTTGTCCTATCGAGTCGTATCATCAAATGTTACAACTTAAGTGTAGCTTAGATCAAAATTTACAGGTTCATGTACTTTGATTATTGAGTTGCATTATCATCTGAGATAAATATCATTTGATGCAGTATCTCAAAACGTCATCTCATTTGAATCATACAGTATTACCGAAACCATTTGTATATCAAAGTATTTTACAAAACAAAAGTTATAGTAAGTTATAAATTAATCCAAGATATTCTGAAGAAAGCCAGAAATGAAAACAGAACTGAATAATAAAACAATATTCGAGTTCCAGTATGAACATCAACTCTAGGATGTAGGTACATCCAGCTGATGAGTCCAAGGTAAGACGAAACGGGCGTCCTGAATTCCACTCCTAACCACCATCCACCTATACTCATAAAATAACATTAGTTAAGAAAAGGTTTAGTAATATTTAATGAATTTACCTCTTGGACTAGTACCACCAGTATTCATATATGCTTGATTAGTTATTTGTGCTGGATTGAAAGCAATAAGGCATAAAGCAGCAACGCATAGAGTAGTTCGGGCTATCACTTCATTATAACCACCATTAATTGGATGATTTTGTTGATTTACAATAGCATTTGGCATATTAGCTTTGTTAACACAGGTGTATGTGAACATGAATTTGTTTCACATAATAACTGACATACAGTAGGGAACTGTGCCTGTATAGTATTATTTCTATTACCATTACCATTATTATTATTATTATTGTTATTATTATTATTATAAATGTTGTTTGTTGAAATTAAGTTGAATTTCTCTTTTACATGTGGGACAGCTAGTTTTTTTACTTCCAAGTCATGATTAACTAGCAAATGGCCACATCTTGCCTTGGTCGGAGTAAACGATGCTCCTCGTCCTCCACCACCATTAGAATCATCGGCTGAAAGTAGAAGGTAAAAGCAGTATATATATATATATATATATATATATATATATATATATATATATATATATATAAACAGAGAGAAATGGGTGTAAAATGAATACCACCACGTGACATTTGGATACCAAGTTGAAATGAGTTTATTTACACTTAACAAATAAACTATTTCAATAAATATATACAAATATGATTCTATATTAAAATCACGCCAGACAATGACCAAATTTAATATGTACATGTATATAACATAAACAAAATAAAACAACATAAAAAGTTAAGAAGATATTTTGGTTAGTCAATAAGTGACCTAATTTCTAACTTAAGGTCGAAAGAATATGAATCGTTAAGAAAGAAAAATAAATATTTAACATTTATGCATAAATTCAGTGTTAATAAAATAAAATGATCTGAAGTAAACAACATTTTTTTCAACATCAATATGATATTAATACTTGTCTAAATGTTTAGAGTGGAAATGAGTGAGATAAATAACAATCTGGTTTTTACAATCGACAAATATTCTATTCCATTTAGAAGTCACGATTTATACAAATTGATATTCGGTACATTTGCATTAGCTTAGAAGACATTTTATTTACTGTACTCACTTTTTAAATTTGTAGTATTTACAAGGATCTAAAAGCAATTATTGAACAGTGTGAGTATAGGGTTCAACGTTACAGAAACGTGACAATCGATATTTAAAGACATGAAGTTCTTAGTTTCCGAGTGATCAAATTTAGATAAATAAAATGTCTACAGATAAGAAGAACAATATTATCAAATCTAGTCGAATATACGCACAATAAACTGGGCAAATCAAATCAGTCTTATTATGTCTCAAGATTGGATGGTAAGTAGAAGGCAACCATGAAATTGTCGTAATTGAATCAGCTAACTGGTCAAGTCCCTATCCGTTCACCTTTGATAACATATAAGCTATAAGCTTTCTCATTTGGTATCCTAATACGGCATTCTACACAATCTTATTTCTTAATTAAGAGTTCGGACAATGTGCAGTATTTGAAAAGGATTTTAGATCACAACAATCTAATGTCAAATATTGTCAAAAATATTTAACGAACTTCTGTATAACCCCATATCAGTACTGCTGGGTAGGGTCTATTAAAAAAATCAAATCAAATAGATAATTATATTATTCAAACTGTTTTAAAAAACTCAATCAAACCACTAAACTATTCGTACAAATGAAGGGCATTGATGAATATTATATATATACTTAACTAATCTGTCTTGATGTTAAGCGAATACAGAAGTGCACATTAACAGTGCTTTGTATAAAAAGGATCATCAAGCATATATTATACAAATTAATGGCCACTTTCAGGTATGAAGCTACGGTTTATACACTCGTCTTGTAATTCTGAGTAGCAATTTCTAGCTTACTGAACTCCATTAAGTTTTATCACATGAAACGTGAAATAGTTGCTGGGTTGGTTAAATGTTAATGTTTTCAGGTATTGTTTACAGACTATATATATTCCCTTCAAAAAGCAGTTAATTTGTATTTACTAAGGTTTAAGCTAGTTGACACGAATCAGTTTCGTGATAAGCATAGAAGACTGATGATAAATAATCAGTCTTTGTTTTATGCTTGATTAATGTTTAATAAGAACACTACAAAAACACCCCACACTAATAATATGGTATACGACTGAAAAATATTAGTTAAATATTGAGATTAATTTGTTTGTGTAGGTGCATAGCCTAATTAGCTGGATAGTTCAAGCTAGTGTAATTTATAAAAATACCAAAGAGGAACAATATGTGAAGAGAACATAAAGCAAGGCGAAGGATATAAGTGGATAGAGAAGAAATATATAGAGGAAGAAGAATAGACAAATTTAAGCTAGTTGCGGGAAATTTAAGCCATAAATAACCAAAATTTGGTTATTTTTTCTCTGAGGAAGTGGCTTACACTGAGTCACGAAACATCAAAAAATTTAATTTTTCTACTCATTGGGCTATTACAAATATATTATTTTTAATTATAACAATCTACCCAATGCTCGATTTATTTGAAATTATCAAATCAAACCATGGTGATGATACCTATGGCACAGAATTGTTCGCAATGGCGCCGATTCACTCACCCTTTAGCTTCTTTTAGAACCTCAGTACTGAGTTCTCTTCGTATCCTTCCTTTCTTTCTCTATACTCTGGGATTTATCTTAAAATAATTTTATTTCCCTGTGCTAGTGTGGTAATGGCAACTTAAATAGGTTATAAGTGGCTGATCGATGTCTTATTCTGACCATATCTACAGGAATATTTCCCAACTTATTTCAGATGAAATTAGAAACTAACAATGGTGATGATAGACATACATAAACGTAATACATAGGTTAGACACGTCAATCATTGAAAACTGAAAATTTTATTGATCTAATTATTTCTTCATTTAAGAAGTATACGTTTTGTCTCACAGCTGAAAATGTGCATCCATATTTACTCAACTTATTTTCACACTTTCACCACAAAACAAGATACAAATGATGATGGTCACGCAATATCGTGAATTGACTGGAGTTACAAATGTACAGTGATGGAAACCAACTCAATGATTTGAAGGTTAATCACCCATTGCTAAGCCTGAGTCTTGTCTTCGGTTCTTGGTTGCGGATACTTAATTACTCGCTTACTTTTGTTACCCCTCGTGTAGGAGCATAAGCCGCTCACCAGCATTCTCCATCCAATTTTGTCCTGCGCAATTCTCTTCAGTTGCAGCTATAATTCAATGACATGGTTGATAAGACTTTGACCTCCTACATGATAGGTGCTAGATACAAGTCTCAGTGTAAACTATAATCTCTGTGATGCAGGTAAATCGATATGACTTTTATTGGAAAGAAACACAAGTATTGGACTTCACTGGTAAACACTATTTAAAATATTGAATCCTAGATAGTTTGTTTTCAAAATTTCATACTATTTAGAGGAACGCTTAATTTAGTTACGTACAGTGCTAAAATAACATGAACTAACCCACATTTGATTATATGTTGTAAATACAAATAATATTCTATCTAACAATTCTCATCACTTATCAGAAATTGAGTTTTTTCTTACTCAGTACATTATTTACATAACTCACTAAAAAAATGATTAAAGTTGCTATGTATTGAATGTCAAATTAATGCAACAACAAGCCCCTTATTATGTGAATAGGTTCAACATTGTATTCAGGGTATAAAGTCGACCGAAGAAATTAACTTTGCAGTAAATCATAATTGAAATGATAGTTAAGATCAATAAACAAAGAGTCTACACAAATTAAAACCTTTTTGAAACGTTGAAATAGATTGTTTTAATTGCTTCTGTATTGGAAAACATAGGATAAGAAAGTATTCATGATTACTCGGATTTCCATTTATTTATTTCAAATATGTCTGTTGATTTATTTGTTTACTTGTTGTTGCGATTTTTAGATAATTCAAGAACTGAACAAAACTCCGATCTTGTTCAATTTAAATAATAAATAAATAGGGCTTAGACACTACAATATGAATTAGATTTCAATAACCAGTAAGTTACCAAAGTACATCACAGTGTATATTTTATAAATGGAAAAGTCTTTCACCGTACAATATTTTATTACTTATAGTAAGACAGTTAAAGTATTGTGTATTTGTAATAAGTTGACAAAATACTGGTATAGTTATTCACTATGAGTGCGAAAAAAACTGCTATTTGCTACTTATTACAACGGAATAAGACGACTCGATGTAAGACAGATGATAATACTGTAGAGATAAGGATTTATTTATGTGCCAACAAATAATTGACAAATGAGTAAACAATTATATGGAAAATACACAAAATTATAAACGATTTACTTAACTGGTCTAAGGTCAAATTAGACTAGAATAAACTGGCGATAACTGACATTGAGTCAATAATTTAAAGTATGTATTCAATTTACAATATCGATAGGTTAATTGTCCTAACCAATAAATATAACTGAATTAACGAGTTGTATTTTTGTTTCTTCCTGATATTTAACGCTCCAATAACAATTCTTAGGATTTTAACGAAGAAAAGTGGATTACATTCACTTGGTATTGCTTACTTGAATCTTCCCATTGATGCTAAGGACTGCACTTGATCAGTCTCTCAATGGAGTATGTGCATACTGTGCGTATTGCCTCGATATTGCCTTAATTCACAGGCATTAAAAGCAAAGATAGATAGTGGCGAACGTCGAATAACTCTCATATATCCCAACCGTATTTTTATATTCTGCTAGTCTTACTACTCAGTCATAAGTAAACTTTACTTATGGATTGCTTTTGTATAACTGAAAACTGAAGTTGTTTTTTTCTGTCTCAAAGTTGCGTGGTGTTTAAACTTATTTTTAAGATGTATTATGAAAAATCCACCAATAAATAGCTTTCTTAAGACACATAAAACTAGTTTTGTAAGTGAATATTCATGCATACTGTATCTTAGATCTACTGGTCAGAGTATCAAACTGATAGTGTATCTGGAAATGTTCTGTTTTAAAACCTATTTCTACCGTCGTCGACAATAATAGTATTCAACTTTGTGTGAAAATATTGTGCCGCCTACCAACTTGTTAAATGAACATAGGTTTGCAAATCTCTCACCATTTTCGTTTCTCTCTCTCTCCCAGTCTTTCCATATCGTCCATGATATCTTCATATCCAGTGTTGTTCATTCCGACTTTGGCGTTTAGGTCTCCCATCAGGATGGTCAGGTCTTTTCCTGGGCATTTCGCTATGATTGATTGCATCCTCTCATAGAACTGATCTTTATTGTCGTCATTGGTGGGTGCATAATATTGGATAACATTCATCATGATTCTCTCCTTCTTTGCTTTGAATGATGCTTTGATAATCCTGGATCCATGGGGTTCCCATCCTATAAGTGCATTTCGTGCTTGTTTGGGCAGCATCAGAGCAGCTCCCTGAGTGTGTGGCACATTTTTCTCTTCGTGGCCGGAGTACAGCAGCATCTCTCCCGTACCTAACCCTTGTTGTAAAGCTTGGATCTAATGGGTTTCGCTGATTCCGAGAACCACCAAGTTGTACCGTCTCAATTCCGTTGCTATTTCACTGGTCCTCCCAGTCTGCCACAATGTCTGGACATTTCATGTATCTATAGAAATTGTTGCTCTGATTGTTAGGAAGGGCATCGGTCTCGTGGCTCCCGAAGGATCTCGGTTTTCATCATGAGGCGTTATAATTCTTCCTTCAACTCTGAAAGCAGTTTAAATGGTTTAATTTGTTTATTCTGGTTAGCGTTTTTTTAGAAAGGTTGTTTTCTACGGGATAGGGTTGCAGACACCATGCCCAACCCTACCCCTTTGCCCGGGCTTGGGACCGGCAGTAGCCCTAGAAGAGTTACAGGAGTTGGTTGTGGATACGCATTGTTATAAAATCCTATACTGGGATGAAACAGCTATCCATTACCTTCTGATTTTTAATAATTACCTAATTAAATTCAGTCTGTGATGTCCAACTTCAAAAGAGATACAACTAAATACATTCAGTAATGAACAATAAAATATTTAAAAAGTCTTTGAATTTTAAACAAACCTAAACGTTTACGATGAACTTTACGAGTACAATCATCTTTCATTATCACTGATTGTTCAGGTAAAATAACAGTTGAATGTGGTGTACAGAATAATTGTTGCGATCCATAAGAATTTTGAGTAGTTGACGATTGTAGCAAAGAGGCCGATGATAATGGATGATAATATTGATATTGTTGATGGGCTGGTAAATTCTCATTATTAATGCAATTATTATCATATAAATCATGATGCTGTAAAACAAATGATGGAATGAAAATGCCGTTAGATATTCCTATTGGTGATGATGATGACAAAGATGATGGTGGTGAAACAGAAGAATATTGTGAATTAGTAATAAATTTAATATCATTATTTAATTGGAAATTAGGCGGCGAATTAATTGATGGCGGTGATGATAATGAAGATGATGATGCAGAAGATAATGACGATGAATGAAATGAATTAGAATATTCTTTCATTTTTTTTACTGATACTTCTTTTCCATTTGAATTATATGGTGATAAACTTGTTGGTTGAATAGATTTACCTGTAAAATGAAATACCTGATTAATTGATGATGGTATACATTCACTGGAAAAACTTTGTGGAGAAGTTTTACATTGATGATAATAATCATTCATTTTTTGATTGTCTAGAGATGGTGATGTTTCAAATGATAGTAACTCGTTTTCGGATGTACTTTCTGCAAGGAAAATACAAAATATATGGTTGAACACAAATAACACTGATTAAGTAATGTAAATTTCTATCAAAACTTTTATGTAATAATCATTCTTTTAGTGCATTCTTTAAAAAAAACTTAGCACAGTGTGTGTAGAGAAATGTATATGATAAACTGACAAACTGCTTAAATTTTAGGTTATCACTTTAAATATTTTTTCTGGTTAGCTTCGGGAATTGGAGGCAGAGGTTAAAAGAGTGAATAGCAATTGGAAAGTACTTGGAAGGAGAGCCCAAGACAGAGCTGGTTAAAGAATCTCGGTCGACGGCCTGTGTTTCCACGAGAGTCAACAGGAGTAATTAAGTCACTTCAAATATACATTTGAAGAGACAGCGAATCAATTAATTCGATTTCGCTTTAGAAATAACGGTTCCAAATGCAGCCAGGTATAACATTGAAACATTCTATCAATCATCGTTTGATTTTACGGAAATGATGGTATCCGAACAGAGACAGATATTGATTGATTAATTCAAAGTGATTTTAATTTTATGAGGTGTAGAGCAGAAACAGTTACTAGTGTTGCAGACCCAATCGTGTACGTGAACTCATGCTATGATGCATTCAAAAGGAAATTATTGTTTCATTTTCAAGAAAACAGTTCAAAGAATAAGATCGAAATAAAAGGCAGTTTTTGTAATGTGTAGTAATTTTTCGAAGAATAAGACTCGAACTAGCTTGTGGATTTTTAAATTAATATTTTGAAGTTTTTGAACGGCTCATATGTAGATGAACTCGGTGCTTCAAAATTGAAATTTTCAACGACTAACTCTCGTTGTACTGACGTAGCATAAGGACTAATAAATATTTGTGCCAGATTATTGCGTTGCTTATGAATAACCAACTGCATACAATATCAATTTGATTATTTACCTACTATTTATAAACTCTATGTAACACATGGCTCAGTCTCCTTAATGATCAATATTTATGTTGACGTAAGAAAATAAGCTGGTTAATATTATGTGTACTTCGATTAGTAAAGAATAAGCCGATTATTGATGACTTTCATGCAGCTTGTGTTATCAATAATGAATAAGTTTTTGTATGCACAGTTGTTTACAAGCAACTACGAGAAATATTAAGAATTCTCATCTATAAAGTACCATATTTAGTAGGAAGGAGCTATACTTTTATTTGAAGAGTTGTGTCTTAAATGAGAATATTTTAAAACTAGGTTGAATTAAATATCTTCTAGAAACCATAGATAATGCATTCGAGTTCCTTCGAGAAGAAAAGTGAACTATACGATCTATGTTACACAACCGATCCTCCCTATCAGTGCATAATATGATTACAACATGCTCAGACATTATTAGGGTCACTGTTGCTTACTATTAGAATCAACGTAGGATACGTTTGAGGCATTAGACGAACGGAAAGCCATTAACTCAGTGTTCAATTGTGCGTTTCTTTCTTCAAGTTCACGAATACGATCGATAGCACGACGAAGAACAGCAGATTTATTCATCTACAGTAAATACAAAATAAAATAACATATTATATATCCAATTACTTTAAGCAAAGAAAATTTATGTAATTGACTCTGCGATGCGCTATATGTGTGACGGTTAGTGATACCACTACTCGGCTGCCCAAACTATAGTAGGTGGGTTTGAAACTGATATCTAATGGTTGAAAAGAGAGTGTTGCAACCTTTGGCCCACCACTCCAGCATAATATTTAACCACTAATGTATATATTTAACTTAAGAAGCAATGTTTACACAAAAATAATGACCTGCTCGTAAGAAATATACTCAAAAGTGTAAGATAGCAGGCAAACAGTGTTTATTCAAAGAAACAAGGTAGAAAAATAATATAATTGAATGCAACAGTTAGTATAATCAATAAAAATGAGGTTGAAAAGTGTTACCACCCAATCCACAAAAATAGATGACACATTCGGATGAGCGGTGCAATTGCAGATTACTACTGGTCTGGACATTCAACCCATAATCATCGAGTGAAAATGTTCAAGTACCGACATTATTAGTTCCATCATAAAATGTATTCAGCTCTATGCACGATTAATGGCCATTAATTAAGTTCTATGGTACACAATCATATTTTATCCAACAGCCAGATAGCATTTAGATAGATTCTTAACAACGAAAAATTCATAACTTACTTTAACATCAGTAGATGATGTGGGCGTTAGAAGCCTACGGAGTTCATCAATTTTCCCATTTATACTGGCACGATAACGTTTCTCAATAGCATTATGAGGTGCTCGTTTAATGGTTTCATGTTTTTGTTCACATTGCTCTACATTTACTTTGTTGTCTTAAAATAAACATGTAAAGAATACCGACTGGTCAGTAAATACAGAAGCCAGAAAAGATTTTGAATACAATGTAGTGAGAAAACAAGTTACATGATTAAAAGTTATCAACCGCAGGCAATACAGAGAATTGAAGTTCGACGTATGTACCATTAGGTCCCGGCTGAGTGTTCTGGCGGCCAAGTGTTTAAGCGTGAGGTCGGAGATCATGGGTTCGATCCCCAGTGGGGTTGTGGATGAACACTGATAAGGATCCCCATACTAAGATGACACAGACATCTAGTGAGTCTTGGTTTTCAACGATGGTTTAGCTAACATCAGTTTGATTTAAATTACGAAAATTCTACAAACTCCATGACCCCATTATGTTAAAACATCATTAACGAGAAATGTTTTAAAGGCCAAAACATGTGCTTCGTCTCGGATCGGTCTAATGGGTAATCAAAAAGCAAGGGTAGTATTACTAGGGGTTAATTTACGTACAGTGGAAGCCATAGCAGCTTAAGTCAACCTGGGTCATTTCTAGAGTTGTCGTGATGTTTGTCTGGTTGTAAAAGCCTGGTGATACAACACATCGGTAATAGTTCAGCTCGATACTATCGAAACTAAACTTCTTCAAGTTGAGGATACTTGGAGACTTTTTGTGGTCAATCACCACCGTCTGAAGAGGACTGTTAGCATCTAGTGGTAGAAACATGTTAGTAATGCCAAGGTCTAAATGTGCGTTTGGACGCAGTGACGAAAATTCAACCGATTTCATCATCTTGAAACACTAGCTTACATAACATATTATTTGCCAGTGATAGAACCAGGTAGAAAAAATGGTGGTGGTAAGTTTGTGTTATAATTCTATGGTATGAAAGATCATTATATAGATTGTCTATTGATTTATCATGATCGCCTAGTTAAGGTCACACAGCTCAGTGGGTTGAAACGTTGTCTTGCATGGATCAAGATAGGAGTCCATGGCAATTTTGGCGTGCTTTGTTTTACCATATTCTTCATCAAATCAAGTAATTTTAGCTGAACGAGATTTATCTTACCTGCATTTTAAATTGAACAATATCTTTTACGGAACAATACTTTACAAGTATCTTGTATACTTTTCTAAACTATCTCATTTATTTATTGATTATTTAGTATGACTTTTACCGCTTCATAATATTACCAATTCATTCTATGTGGCACTTATTTTTCATGCTTTTCGTACCAAAAATCACATATTACAAATAAATACCAATGGCAATACAAATTCAACCTAACGTTTTATATCCAGTAGTTAGGAATTTCAAGTGATATGACTCAAAATCAAAATCCTATGCATATGCATTAGTAGTTTAATTTTAATGAGCAGCTAGAAAATTAAGCCATGGGACGAAAACGTGTTGACTGCAAAAACTTAACCGAACAAAGTAACAGGAAGTTCCAAAGGGACTTGCTATGAAATTATTGAAATAACCAATGGCTAAATAGCGGGTGACTACACTGAAAAAAATTTGAGTAGTCCTAGATTAGTTAGCCCTGTACTTTTGGGGCCTTACCGCCGGCAACGAAAATAGGTGGGGTGTGCTATTTCTAGGGTCAACATTCTCAAACCTTCATTCCTTTATGAGAAGGCAGCATTTCTGCAGAAGCTGGTTGTCCGAGGAAAATGCCTTACTACCGTCACATTATACAGTGGGTACCACGACTTCGCCTTTAAACCACAAGTTCGTATAGTCGAAATTTCATCGAACATATCTCAAAAACAACGTTACATGGATGTTATGGTGAAAACATTGTAAAGCACAGCACACATTTAAAATAGAAAATATTAAGAAACAGGGCCTGGAAAGAAAGTATTCATATATAACATTTATCCAATGCCTTGTGGGTCAGACCTTTAGGTCGAAGGCTCCGGATGTGGCCTCCTAAGAAGACCACCTGCTTCGGTCTGAGCACTCGGGCAGTACCACAACTCCTCTCCGAGTTGAGGATCTTAGACGACTCTCTGTGTTTGACCATCGATGTCTCCGAAGGATTGCTGACATCCAGTGGCATCACCATGTTAGTAATGCAGAGGTTCAGCATCATGTGTTCGGGCGCAGAGACGATAATGCAATTGGTGTCACCATCTCGAAACATTGAATTCGGTGGCTTGGACATGTTCTACGAATGTCGTCCAAGAGAATTCCACGTCGTGCATTATTTGCTGACGCTGGGATTGGTTGGAAAAAGTGGAAAGGTGGTTAGTGTATGACCTGGTGTCGTGGTATAAAAGAAAACTACAAAGGGTTGGCTTGTGTTGGTCCTTCACGACTCTCTGGCTGGGGTCCGAGTGATGATGCGACACAGTGGCTAGAGACGTTATCAGATATGGCTCAGAATAGAAGCCAGAGGCGATACTGCTGTAACCTTCTTTTACTTTCTTCATAAAAAAATGGTTGTATCTTCCGTAACTGGAAGATTTCTTCTGATTGTACCTTTCCGGTTCCCCGTTATTACTATTATTACACTATCTTACAGTAATCTGTTCGTTATTGTTCTTTTTTCTCTTCAAATTCTCACAGTTTTGTGTGGCGCATATATATTTGGTGCCCCCTTGTACCAATATTTATGTTCAAATAAATAAATAAATCACACAAATCAAGTGACTTCTGTAGCGCATATGTATTTGGTGCCCCTATATACCAATATTTATGCGTTCAAATAAATAAATCATAAACAAAACAGAACCTGGTACATACGTGGGTCAGTTCAAGCTACCGCACCACATCAGGACAGAACAAAATTGTCAAAATGAATAATAATCTAAAGACATTTACCTCCTTCATTCTTGTTGATCACAAAGTGTGTCTTCTCAGCACCTGAGCTGATCGAAGAGTATTGAATGGGACACGATCTACTTGAATCTACCCCGTTTTCATTAAGATTTTGGATTTCAGAATCGCATAATAGCCTGGATATTAGTGGTACTTCATATGTACGCTGAATGGGTGCACAAACATTACCATCTACCTTTACTTGAGGGAATGTAGAACGATGGACAGATGGAATTTCCCAAGAGAAATTCTTTTTGTTATGTTCATTTTCCCATAATTGCAGCCCTAAAAGAATTATGTCATGAAGTTAATTGCTTTAACCTGTATTTGTTGTAGAAATGTCTGAAGTTGGTTCAGACTTCAGAAGTGATTCTAAAGTCGTCTTCTCAGACCGACTAGAGACAGCTTCATCATCCATATTTTTCGCATCAGGGCTATCCAAAAATGCAGACACATCGAAAGAGAAATCGTTTACATCGATTCCATCCAAAAAACTTTCGGAAATGTCATTAAACAACGGATCGTTAAAGATCTGCGACATAGTCACTGAATGCAAACAGATTATTATCTATTTGTATGTAGTTACTTGGCTCCATGGTTGACACCGAAGAACAGTTCCCATCCAAATTGCCACGCACTTAATCTACCCAGTTATAGGCCTGACGACCACAGGAACTGAAGAACTGGTGCTTGGGAGAGATTAATGGATAAGCTAGGGTGCTGAAAAAGTATTGATAACACAGGTTTAGTTGATATGTATTTAAGTGAGGAGAACATGCAAGGAAACAGAGATGATCAATAATCAGGGGATCACTTGCACAGTAGTTAGTAAATTTGCAGATGATAGGTAAAGGTCCAGGTTTACAAGTGATTGTGTAGGTTGTAAAAATTCAACCATGTTCAATCTTGACTCCCATAAAAGAGTCGACCCGTATGTGAAAGCTGAATTGTTTGGTGATGCTTTTAGACCTATTAGCTACCGCTAACATACTCATCTGTACAGCATTAATAGGGAAACAGTTTAGAAATATTATTGGGACCAACCACTTTTCACTTGACGGAACATATTTACAGGTAGCAGTTAACGGTGAGACTATGATTTAAGGACGAACCAAATAGATTTAGGATAATAGGTTTTGGAATTCGACACGAAATTCACTTATCCATCTGCCTAAATAGCATTTTGGCTGACCATAGCAAGTAGGTGAACATTTCTAAGGTCACTTCAGCGTCCCTCAAAGGTCGTCCGTAAATTAGTTTCACCTAGTAAATTCCTAAGGTTTATAAAAAGTAGATTTATTTAATGACGGTTCTCTACAAATTACTGGATAAAACTAATGTTCTAAGGCAAGAAAACTATAAGCTTATCGACTTCACATCTGAGATGTCTTATACAAAGTATGACAGCTACACATAAATGGTTTTATGGCCCTCGAGATCTTTAGGTCATGTTTAATCTAATTTCATGATGAAGGCTGCGAGTAGTCAAATGCTGAGCTTTTCTATGGGCTGATGGACGGTATTTTGGCCAACATTATGAGGCAAACTTGAAGCTCTCTCAGTCATAGTTAACGTAGAGCCCGACACAAATATGAGTTAACCTAAGCCCCCATACCACACTGGGATAAATAAGTGAAAATAACAAGGTGAATAGCAAAGAAGCCAAAATAAATGAAGCAGTAATGATAGTACGAAAGTCTTTATGCAATCATAACTGCGCAATCTTTAAATTCGACTAAATTATTGCGCTTTAGCCAACAATCCTGGTGACTAAACTTTACACCAGTGACCGTCATCTCTTACTGGACGATATATTGATATACTAAGTAGATCTAGTCAGTCAACTTGAAAAGATAGGTGAATAACGGATCTGTCTTGTCATATGATGTAGAATGAGGCTGAGTAAGTTGGATCATTATTATTGGTGTTATTATTGTTGGACTCTCCTCTCCAATATAGTTGACATGGAAGCATATATTTATTTGAGATTTATCAACCATCAACTGGAGGCAAGACTTTGACTTCATATACCTGACAGTACACACTGAATATCTTAACGTTAGAAAGACGAGGCCACTGTCTTGCAACCTCATCAATAATTGAAAAAGAGATGTTGATTCGACTCAGCATATGTCTGTAGAACAATGTAACAGTGAATTAATGAATGTATGATGAGGAGTCCGAAGTCAAAATAACTTATGAAAAACTAAGCAATGTTCTATGATATCAAGCCCGCCCTGGATGTTATGGTTTGGGCGCTTATCACGCAATATGAACTAACCTAACTTGTCAGTGATTCTATGATTTATAAGTATGGCCACTACGCATTGTCTTAAATTGTTGACCCAGGTGACGCAGAAAGCCCATAAGATGTGAATCGAAAGGGAACGAGATAATACTAAAAAATATCACGGTAATAATTATCGTTTGAAAGTCTGACAATGACTGGACGATGCATAGACATACCCTCAGTTGTTTGGTTTATCGAGTGACTTTTAAAACTCCCGCGGATAATCAGTTTTCAATATCAGTTTTACTTGTGATGAGCAGAAAATTAGAACTGTGTTTCTGTAACAGTATTAAAAATCATTACATATGACGTTACTGAGGTGAGTTTGTGTTCTTTATTGCAGGGCGACAAAGAGTGAACGTACTAGAAGAAGAGGAACAAGCTTTACGCAAGCTGAACCTGTAGAACAATGAATAAACCCGTTTTGTAATAAGCTTCCCTTTTTGTGCTCGTACCGCTTCTTTCGATTTTTAAGTATATCTCTGTTGTGCCAGTACGCCGCGCTCTCACTTCAGAGGCAGTTACCAGTTCTGACTGTTGTGTTGTTGTTTCAGATCGTTCCTGCTTCCGAATAAACACTGATACAACGTGCTACATTTTTATTTTCGGTAGCGAATGTTTTGCAGGTGACCCTGCAATTTTCTGATTATTTCTGCAGGATCCGGCAAAGATACTTGGTAATGAGGCGAAGTACAGTTTTCTATCTGCTTAAACTCTATTCATTAGGAATGCTATCCAATTTGCCATTATCGACAGTGTATCGCATGAAAGTGGGACGTGTAAATTAGTTAGTTGCCGCTCGAAATGCAAGGGACAAGATCTGCTGCTTGCTTTGGTCTGTCGCAGTCGAAGCTTGGGGGTAAATGATGTACTGCTAAGCAGTCTCAATACTTGGTCACAAAGTGGTCGATGCCTAATCCTAATGGACTTTAATGCACCATTGGTAGACTGGAGATATCTGCGAACTGGATTGTCAGATAATTCTTTCGAGCAGGAACTAGTTGATGTGGTTATCACATGTGCCCTTGAGCACCATGTGAAAGAAGCGACTAGGTACGACCCGGACTCCGAATCATCCTTACTAGATCTTATGTTGACTCACTATGAGGATGACGTTGCAAACCTCGACTATATGCTACCCCTAGATAAAAGTGATCAAGTAGTTCAAACCCTCGACTTAAATATAATTATCGAACACGAGCATGCTGAATCCAGACCTAACGTCTGGAAAGCAAACATACAAGATATCATGCACTCAGCATTGTCAGTAGATTGAGAAATAGACTCAGAGTCCTCAACTGAAACGGCATGGAACGTATTTCGAAATTTATACCTAAAAGTTACCGCACTTCATATTCCTTGGACTACACCAAAGGGGCCGAGAAACTCTCCACCATGGTTCAGTAGGGAGGTACGCATCCTCTGTAAGAGAAGAAACATTTGGGATAGATTTAGGCTTATGGGGACTGATGGGACGAAATCTCAGTATGGAAAAGCTCGTAATACCTGTACCTCGACCCTCCGTAAGTCTAGAAAGTTGTACGAAGAAAAAATTGTTAAGAAATCCATGGAATTTCCCAAACGCTTGTATTCACTTATAAACCAAAGGACAAAAACAAGTGGAAATATTCCTACACTATGGAGAGACAGTTTTGCCGCATCATTAGTGGAGGACGACTTTGGTAAGGCTAAAGTATTCTCAAACTGCTTTGAAAATGTATATACCATAGAAACATCCCGTCAGTCCACATAAATCCCCCTACACAAACACTGGACAGCGTGACCATTAGAGAACTCGATGTCTTCGGCCTGCTAAACAAGCTTGATATAGACAAATCCACGGAGCCCGACGAATTGCATCCTAGTCTACTAAAGGAATTAGCTAACTTCGTTGCGAACCCTTTAAGTATATGCTTTAATATATCCTTAACCCATGGTCGTTTACCAAAAGACTGGAAAAACGCCATAGTAATCCTGTCTTCAAAATAGGTACGAAACATAAAACTGAGAATTACTGACCTGTTAGCCTGACTAATGTGTTTGTTAAAATCTCAGAAAAGATTATTCAGGATTAGCTGTTTAAGTACCTCGATGAAACTGGATCCTTTCGGAGAAGCAGCATGGTTTTAGAATAGGTTATTTTTGTCTTAATAACTTACTAGTGGCTCGTGAAAGCTGGTGAGCTCTTAAGGACCAAAAGTTACTTGTAGACGTAGCCTACATTGACTTCAGCAAAGCTTTTGACCAAGTCCCGCACAACCGGCTGTTATATAAGTTAAGGAATGCCGGGGTTGAGGGTAATATATTGATGTAGATAAAAGACTTCTTAGTTGGGCGTCAACAAAGAGTACGGGTGAACTCTAAGTTATCTGGCTGGGAAACTGTGCTTAGTGGAGTGCCTCAGAGTACAATTTTGGGACCAGTGCTATTCCTCTTGCATGTAAATGACCTTCCTCGTCTCCTATCATCATCGGTCTAGCTATATGCTGACGATGTCAAGATATGGAGAACGATACGATGTAAGGGTGATAGCCTAGAACTCCAAAATGATCTGGAGAAACTATTTGAATTGTCTGAAACCTGGCACTTGCTGATAAATTCTTCAAAGTGTATCGTGGTGCATATCGGTCATCAAGGTACAGAAACATGCGTGATGAACAACACTGAGTTACCTATCGTCCAGACATATAATGACTTAGGAGTCATCGTTAGCCAAGACCTAAAGACTACTGCACAATGCCGAGCAATAGCAGCCAAAGGTTTTAGAACGTTATGGTCAATAAGTAGGGCCTTTAGTCATGTCGACGCTAAGACGTTTTTGACTTGTATACAGTGTTCGTACGTCCTAAACTTGAGTACTGCATACAAGCGGCTAGCCCCTGCCTTAAAAAATCAGTGAACTTTTGGAAAATGTTCAGAAAACAGCAACAAATCTTATTCTCGGAATAGCGAAGCTTCCATACGATGCTCGACTGGCCAAGCTAACCCTTTTCCCGTTGTCATGTCGTAGAACCAGAGGCGACTTGATAACAGTTTTCAAATTGCTTGGTGATAAATTTTTACCTGATATGCCCTCATTTTTCTTGTCTTCCAAGACAGAAAACTTACGAGGACACTCCAAAATAGTTCATAAGCCCAGAACAAATTATTTGTCAGCTGACTATCGACATTCCCATCAAATCATCATCGAGTGGAATTCATTACTTCAGCGCGTGATTGAGGCTCCATCTATCGACTCTTTCAAAAGAAAGTTGGATCAACTGGGAGATCACCGTTGCATGGACTAACACAGGCCATCAAGCCTAC